GTTCAGTTACAACAACCTTTGAAACAGAAGAGTAAGTTGTGATAGAGGATTTTTAATGTAAAGTCTATAAATTGAGTCATTTGTAACCTACCAGCTGTACAAACATAGTCATAAAATTGTAAATTTGGAAGACCCCAATTTGATTTAGTAGATTCTGATAGATGAAAACATACTCTATCAAGTCGGTTTCACTTTGTTGATTTTTGGACTGATTCACTATTAGAAAAATTGGGTCAAAGGTCATGGTGACATCTTAAAAGTCATGGCTACCTACTTTCCACAAAATTTAAATTTGACAAAAGAGTTGATTTGAGCATGCAATTCTCAATATTTTAACACCACATTTGCATATATTTGATAAACATTTACATGATAATGGCATATTTGTTCCACAACGGTGGTATTTTTATCTAAAATTTCAGTTTTGGTGCTTTCTGCCCTGACTACATGGTAGGTCGGTAGGTCGGATTGGGCTAAAAATTGGTATGCATTCATTGCTCATCGGGACCTACTGTACAAGCAAATCAATTTTTATCAAAATCAGAAGACCTAAGGTGAATAAGTGCGTTGGTCTGACATGGAATGACCCTAAAACGATGTCGATTTGTTTTGATTTCAGGCAAATGTTCTAATTTTACATTCACCAAACTTTGACCTTCCGGTAGACCTGGAAGTAAATGTCAATCCAGTAAACGTAAACCAATGTTAACCAATAAATGGCCTGTCCGAGCTGATTACAAAATTGATCATTTTGTTCAAGCGTTATAGGTGAAAGAAGACCGTCATTTTTTCAACGAAAATCGCTTTACACCCGATGACGTCATCACGCCGTCAGAGTAATATGCATCACTAGGGATCAGGCTCGATATATGTTGAAAGTTACAAGCTCATACCATACACCGTTCAGGAGAAAACCCACGGAGATTTATTGTCCGGAAAAAATAACAACTAAAGGTCAAGGCGTTTGTTGAGCTACAAACGCAGAGTGGTCGGGCCGACAACTATTTTATTAGACACAGCCCACGTAAGTTATGAATGATTTAATGTCAGAAAAAAGAATCACGAAAATTGTTGTTTAAAACAAAATTATATCAAATTTCAGTACACATTTTATGTACACGAACAAGTTATTTCTGGCTTGATGACGTCATCAGTCAAAAGGGAAAGTGAATACCGATTTAGTTCGGAGAGGACATCTGTTCATTTTGAAGTAAAGAAGACGTATGAAAATATGGAAAATACTAGAGGTAATCGCGTTTGATGTTACAAACGCAGAGTGGTCGGACAGGCATTTTTTTTCCAATAAACACTGCCGTGTTAAGTTATGAATATTTGAACAAAGGATCACGAAATTAAATCCTTTCCAGTACAATTATTTGGTGGTAAAATTCAGTAAATATTACACTAGTTATATCTGGCTTGATGATGTCATTATTCAAAAACGGGAAGTGAATACTGATTTAGTTCGGAGTGGATAAATGTTCATTGTGAAGTTAAATGACGTATGAACGTATGGAAAATATACGTGTATTTATTCATAACAACTAACCTCCGGTTTGATGATGTCACAGTATTTGGAAACAAAAAGTGAACATTGTAATGGATATCGTTACTTGGGCTACGGAAATATACAACATGGATCGAATGATATGATTTAAAAGTAAATTCAAAATATGGTCGTTTTCAAATTCTCAAAGAAGTAACTTCCGGTATGATGACGTCATAACTTTGAAACCTTGCCAAGTTATTTGTAGTTAATCAAAGAATATCAAGGAACGATTTGGTAAATTTGAACTGATGGTTTTTAAATAAGAGAGAAGAACACTGTTTTATGTGGCGCTAGAGGCAACCTTTCGAAAGATAACGTCATCACACTTTTTTGTCTGGCATTCCTCACTTAACACTTTCATAATTTATATGTGTGTAGTAAAATGCTTCCGCTTTTAAATTACATTCGGTTTTCATTGCACTTCCTGTAATACTGGAAGTGGAAGTCGAGCGGTTTTGTGTCCGGGGACAAAAAATGTTTCTTACGGCATAGTCTACAACCTCACGAAAAAAACGAACAAGATACTCTATTTAGTTCAAAAGATATAGCGCAAACTATTTTGTAAGAATTTGCCCTTAAATCGCTTGTAATTTGATACCTGATGACGTCATGATGACATAACAACATTTATAACATCTTCGTTACATGGTACAAGTTCACATTAGGTTTCTGGATCATACCGTTAACCGTTTGGAAGAAATTCTGCTTTGTTTTGATTTCAGGCTAAAGTGTTCATTTTGAATTCACCTAACTTTGACCTTTCAGTGGACCCGGAAGTAAGGGTCAAGCGAGTTCACGTACATATTAAAAAATGTTTATCAATTCATGGTCTATCCAATTACAGAATACAAACACTATTGATTATTTTGTGCAAGAGTTAAAGGTGAAAGTAATTGGTAATTGTTTCAGCTAAAATCGCTTGTAATTTGACACCCGATGACGTCATCATGACGTCAGAGTTATATGCACCACTAGGCATGAGGGTTGATTATATTGAAAATTTCAAGTTCATATCATGAACCATTTAGGAGAAAAGCCGCGGGGAAGTATTGTCCAGAAAAAAGAAAGATTTATCAACACAATAACAGAGAGTGGTCGGGTTGTGCCCGACCAATCAATAATTCATGTATTAATAACACCTCACTCCCGGTTTGATGACGTCACATCATTAAAGATCCAAAGGTGAACATTGTAACGGATATTATTATTTGGGCCACGAACAAAGTCATCAGACAGGGATCAAATAATAGAAAAAGGAAAAAAAATCATTTTCAGGTTCTCCCTACAGTAACTTCCGGTCTGTTGACGTCATAATTCTTAAACCTTGCAAAGTTATATGTAGTTGATATAACCTAAGTTGCTCGCAACTTAACTTAAGTTGCTCGCAACTTAGAACTGATTCTACAAGGGGCGATTGGGTTAAATTTGGACAGAGGTTTTTTTTTTAATTAAAAAAAGGAAACCCTATTTGATGTACTGCTAGAGGGCGCCCTTTCCAATGATGACGTTATTATGCTGTTTTTTTGTCCTTTATTCCTTTCTAAACACTTCCATAATTTATTTGCTTATAGTAAAGAGCTTCTGCTTTCGAGTTATATTCAATTTTTATTGCACTCCGGTAACACTGGAAGTGAAGGTAAAGCAGTTTTGTTCCCGGGAATAAGAATTGTTGCCCGAGGCATCATTTACAGCCTCACGCAAACGGAACACAATACTCTATTTAGTTCTAAAGAAATAGCTGAAACTATCTTCGCATATTTGGCCCTTAAATTGCTTGTAACTGTTAAAATCATTTATAATAATTTGGGATACTGAATTGCGAAGGACTCGGCTACAACGTGGTCGGGCCGCTGGTACGTAAAGGCGCCTATGGCTGTTGGCCACATTGACCCATCTATGACCACGGAGCACAGCCTGAGATCGAAAGTGTTTGATTTTTTCTGGAGGAGGGAAACCGAAGGGACCGGAGAAAAACCTGATACCTGATGACGTCTGATTTTATTATCATCTTCGGACGGGGGTTCATTTCATACCAGGTTTTATCGTAATCCCGTTAATCGGTCGGTAGAAATTCGGTTCGTTTTGATTTTGAGACCTCAGTTTTGTCTGTATTTTATATTTACCTAACTTTGACCTTCCGGTTGACCTGAAAGTAAAGGTCAAGCGAGTTCACGTGCACAGCAAAACATGTTTTTCAATTACTGGTCTATCTGATTGCAGAATACGAACATCATTGATTATTTTGTTCAAGAGTTATAAGTGAAAGTAGTTGATCACTCTTTAAGCTAAATTCGCTTGTAAATACAACCGATGACGTCATCATGACGTCAGAGTAAAATGAACCACTTAGGATGAGGTCACATCATATACCGTTTAGCAGAAAACCCACAGAGAATTATTGTCCAGAAAAAAGAAAGAAACAAAGAAGATAATCGGATCAATTCTAAACAGTGGTCGGGTTGTGCTCGACCATTCCAAGACAGAAAGAAAGAAGATTTATCTGAACAATTCTACACAGTGGTGTAGCCCGACCACTCAAACAGTCGTGTTGTGCCTGTCCACTCAAACAAACGTGTTGTGCCCGACCACTCAACAAAGACTAATCGGAACGATGACAAGCAGTGGTCGGGTTGTGCCCGACAACTCCAAAATCCTTTAAAAAAAAACCACTTATTTTACATCCTTCCAGAGGCGCGAAGGGTTACACTGATTAAACATTGTTACTGGAATTTGTATCCTTCTGGATTCATTTCTTTGTTCTCGTGTATTAAAGTTTGCGAGTTTGAAAGGGTTCTTTCAAAATGCTCCTATTTTAACCAGAATTAATTTCCTGGGCTGAAATTCCGACTTAATCTCTTACACTATAGTTCTCAAGCTGTTGAACAGTTTGCAAACTTGTAAACTTGTAAAACTTGTAAAACTTGTAAACAATTTTTAACTTGAATACATTGGCTATTAAAAGTCAACCAATCAGATGACGAGGATTTATGCAGGTGTTATATAAAACAAATAATGAATGTTTCACGTTCGTGCAATAGAAAGAATAATTTCATTCGGTGAGAGATAAAATGTTCATTCGCCTCGTGGAATGGAACATTTCATCTGTCACCTCATGAAATTATTCTTACCATTGCACTCACAAACATTCATTATTTGTATAATGTCCCTTCAGGGACACCATACCAGCACATTCTTTTCTAAAAGTAACAAACCCAACACACTTAATTCACTTTGTTTTTACAATAGGAATGGCAGATAAATGTTACAGTTGTGAGAAATGTGTCTGGCGTCGTGACGTTATCAATACAGAATGTTTTCTCAAATATATACATGTATATGTGTAATTAGAATAAAATGCGGAAAACTCAGATGTTCTGTTCATCAAACGGACCTACTTCTAGATTTTGTCCTTTTTTACATTCTATTCAAATCATGCTATCAACAACCTCACCTGTGTGACGAGGATCAAGATGATTTCAGTCAGTCCGTTTGAGGCAGCAATGTGCAGTGCCGAGGAGCCGTCCCTTTTGACAACATTGATCAGGTTTGGCAACTTTCTTAGAATCCCTTCCACAGCACTGGAGTAATGAAAGTTGCTTGTTTTATAATGCAACGCCGAGGCGTTTACTTTTTAAGTTGGTATGACGTAACGCACTACACATACAGGGTGTCTCAAAAAAGGTAACCCAACTTGAAAGGGTTATTATGGCCAGACTTTTTGTTTACAAGCAAAAAGCATGGTATCATCTTAAAGCTGAAGCTGTGCGCTTTTCAATGATATCTTGGGTTACATTCCAGAGTCACGCATCACGGAACACCATTGTCTTGAAGTTGTGGTACAAAAATGCAGTTGGTTCACTTTCCTGCTAAAGAAATCGACACAGATTCATGTTTTTGGCTGTTTCGGCACTTTGCCGAAACAGCCTTTGTTTTCGTTAAGATTTTTTTTTTTTTTTTTTTTTTTTTTTTAGCTGTTCCCAATTTCAATTGGGAACAGCTCTTGTTTTCGTTAAAGTAATTTTTTTCCTTTTTGGCTTTTTCGCAATTCAGCGAAAAAGCCTTTGTTTCTGTTCTGATTTTTTTTCTCCCTAGTTTCTTCTTTTTGTTCCATGCAAAATGCCATATACTTTGTACACCATTTTTGTACACGCCACTATTGGCATTGAAATTTGTCAAACATAATTCAAATTAAGCATATACATTGTCCTTATAGCAAAGTTGTGTCTCAAAGAGTGACGTCATGATTACGTTATCAGGGGTCACGTGACGTCATCACAAACGTGCATATTTTGAAGTCTTATATCTAAAAAACAGTCCGATTGGGTTGAAACTTGGTATGTGGGTAGACCGGGATGTGTTATAGAAAAAAAAATGAGGTGACGTCATGATGACTATATCGTGCGATTTATATTAATTTTTGAAGTTTTGGACCTTAAAGCCATATCTCACGAACGCAACATGCTAAATTGAAAATTCTTTTTGTATTTGGTTTGTTATGTAATAGGTATATGCACACATTTTTGAAAAAATGTGTGACGTCATCATGACGTCATCAAAAATGCGATTTTTCAAAACACATATAAGGGAAAGTCTGATTGTCATGAAACTTGGTTGGTAGGTTGATAGTGGTACTAGTGTGCAAAGTCCGAAGTGACGTCACGATGACGTCATCGTTTGATTTTTTACGATTTTTTAATATTTATTCTGCTTCCAAAATTGCACACTCCGCTTCATCGGGTTGAAACTCGGTATGCGGGTAGACCGGGATCTGTTATAGATAAAAAATGAGGTGACGTCATGATGACGTCATGGTGCGATTTTCAAATGAATTTTTGTATTTTTGGACCTTGCAGCCATATCTCACGAACACAACTTGCAAAATTCAAAATAATTTTTGTATTTGGTTTGTTAGGTAATAGGTATTCGCACAAAATTTTGAAAAATGTGTGACGTCATCATGACGTCATCAAAAATGCGATTTTTCAAAACACATGAGGAAAGGTCCGATGGTCATGAAACTTGTTGGGTAGGTAGATAATGGAACTAGTGTGCAAAGTCCGAATTGACGTCATGATGACGTCATCGTTTGTTTGTTTTATATTTTTTTTAAATTTTTATAATTTTATTCTGCTTCCAAAATTGCACACTTTCTTTTATCGGATTGATTTTAAACGTGGTTCAAACTAAGACCACAATACAAAATGTGCATTGAGAAGGGTTTTCAAGATGACGTCATTGCAGGGCATGTGACGTCATGTGATAACCTTATATTTTAGGAATTATTTTAAGCGTTTTGAACAACCTTAAACTGCATGAAGCACTATGAAAATTGACTGCAAAAGGTCCAACAAAACATAACAATTTGTAAAATGCGAAAAAGCCCTGTGTTCTGTTTGCAAACAGACACACAGCTCTAGTTTCTTGGGTCTTTTTCTTTTTCCACTTTTCCCCATAGGTTTTGTACACGTTTTTATTGTACAAGCCACTTCGGCAATTATTTTAAATCCGATCAACTTTAAAATTCGCATAGACATTAACCATCATCTGAAGATGTATGCCGAAACGTTTCGTCATGCTGACGTCATCAAGCGATTTATTATAGAATTTTGAATATTTAATTTTTCCCATAGACTTTGTACACAGAAATTTAAAACAAATTGTCGATTTTCATAGGGAATTTTCGACTCTTTGCCAGAAATTCATTTACACCAATCTTTGTCCAAGCAAAGACCCTAATTCAAACAACATTGTGTAATGATGACGTCATGATGACGTCATCCTGTGTTTTTTATGGGCAATTAAATTGTGACACTTCTAATATTTAAAAATGCATAAGAAATCAACCGTACGCGTCCGCAGCATTCTGTTTCCGTCAAGTGGTAGAATAGGTTAAGGTCTTTATTTCATTCAGTGTGCGTGAAATCACGTGACCCTTGCTTCCGGTCGAAAAAGGCCAAAACCGGTAGTGGCTTATTATTTAAAAATGGTAATAGAAATGAACTTGCTTTTAACGGTAATAGTCTTTTGGCTAAAAGTATTCTTCAAATCATCTACCATTGACGTCATGCAATCTTCGAGCGCCCTCTAGCGACAGGTTGAAAATTTGCAAAAATGTATTTTGAATAGATGTCTGCGGCGAAGTTTGTCGGAATCGCCTAAATATTGGTGTATATGATAACCTTGACCCACTTAAGACGTGTGCGAAGTTTTAGGCGAATGACGTCATCGGACCGGAAGTTATAATAAAAAGACCCTTTTTCATTTGAAAATTCCTGAAAAATCAACCATGGCAGTTTTTATGTTAGTTTTTACTTTAATTGTCCATTAAAGGGTAGGTCTTAAACATTTCAAAGCTTAGAGGCAATAAGGTAACTCGGACATGCCCTGCGCACGCTTAAAACTTCAGGTTGACAATACCTCTGCTCTAAAAGATGCACAGAACGTCTATATGTACATACACGTACGTTACGCACATAAATTGTATGTCAGTCAGCCTGCAGAGCACGTGTTGCCGAGGTCAAATCCTGTCCACGTCACAGTGACCGTTTTAGCCGATTTTCGGCTAATTTTGACAGATTTTATGTTCATGCATGCGCATAGTCAGGGACGTATAATAAAATGTCATAATGCCGAAAAGCCCTATGTTACGTACTAAAAGGTGCAGTTTTTCTGCAGTGGGATTTTTCACAAGTCTTTTCCTATACAACACTGATATCTTACCGAGTAGTTCTGAACTTCAGCCGAGAATTACTATGAGAAGGAAAGAGAAATCGTATTTTTTTCGCGCTGTCATTCGATTGAACATATTCCTAAGGTCAGAATATCAAGTAATATTTCATAAAAATATTTCAGTTCAAAAGGCAAATTACAAATTTAAAGGTGCAATTTTTCTGCAGTGGGATTTTTTTTAGCCCGTTAATTTTGTACACGTGTTAGCCCATTGACTTTGTACACGTTTTCAAGCCACAATTTCTATAACTTGGCGATCTGGAATTGTCATCAATGTTACAGCCAAGGAAGACCCTCATACAAAATTATGCCAAGACTATGACGTCATGATAACGTCATCACTTAATTTTTTTTTATTGATTTTTGAAAATTTACCTGCATATTATGAAGTCTTATATCTACAGAACTTTAAGTCCGATTGGGTTGAAACTTGGTATGTGGCTAGACCGGGACGTGTTCTTGGTAAAACAAAATTAGGTGACGCCATGATGACGTCATCCGGAGATTTTATATTTGAAGTTTTTGACCTTTTAGCCATAACTCATGAACGTAACGTACAAAATTCAAAATTCTTTGTGTATTTGGTCTGTTAGGTAAAAGGTATTTGCACAAAATTTTGAAAAGAATACCTGACATCATTATGACGTCATAAAAATGCGATTTTTCAAAATACATATAAGGAAAGGTCTGACTGTCAAGAAACTTAGTGGGTAGGTAAATAATGGTACTAGTAGACAGAGTTTAAAGTGACGTCACGATGACGTCATCGTTTGGTTTTTATAATTTTTAGATATTTATAATTTTAATCTGCTTCCACAAATTGCACACTTTCTTTCATCGGATTGACATTAAACTTGGTTCAAACCAAAATCACAATGACAAAATGTGCATTGAGAAGGGTCTTAAGGATGACGTCATTGCAGGGCAAGTGACATCATTTGATAAAATTATACTTTAGGAATTATTCTAAGCGTTTGAAACTACCTTTAACTGCATGAAGCACTCTGAAAAGTGACTGCAAAAGGACAAACGAAACAAATATTTGTAAAATGCGAAAAACCCCTGTGTTCTGTTTGCAAACAGACATACAGCTCTAGATTTTTTTCTTCTTCTATTTCAGCCAAAACCCATAGGATTTGTACACGTTTTTACAGTGGAAGGCACTTTGGGCACTAAAATCAATCCGATTGACTTTATACTCGGCACACACTTAGACCAGCATCTGAAGATGTGTCCCGAACATTGACGTCATCATGACGTCATCACGAGTCACGTGACGTCACATAATATGCGATTTTTCTATTGTGACCGTTTTCTAGCAGAATTCGGCTATATCTGACAGATTGGGCTATATCTCCAGAACTACAGGTCCGATTGGGTTGAAAGTTGGTATGTACCTAGACCGGGATGTCTTATAAATGAAAATTAACTTGACGTCATGATGACGTCATCACGTTACATATGACGTCATAAAAATAAACATATTTTGAAGGCCTATATCTCCTGAACTACAGGTCCGATTGGGTTGAAAGTTGGTATGTACCTAGACCGGGATGTGTTATAGATGAAAATTGAAATGACGTCATGATTAAGTCATCATGGGTCACGTGACGTCACGTTAAAGATTAATAGATCTTTGAAAATCAATATAAATTCAAACGTGAGAGACCTAAAATTGACGTTTGCAGGAATCTAAAGAATAATCCAGGGTCTTAATTTTTATATGTGCAAAATCACGTGACCCTTCCTTCCGGTTGAAACCAGAAGTGCCTTGTAATTTAAAATTGGTGAAAGATGTGAACTTGCTTTCAACGATGTATGCTATGGCGAAGTTGTTATTTACAAACAAAAATATAGTTATAGATGAAAATTGTTGTGACGTCATCATGACGTCATTACGTCACATGTGACGTCATAATTCAAAGCCCTATGGGAATGTAATCACATATTGTATGCCACCAGTTATTATCAACAGAACTACACATTCTTCCTGGATGGAACTTGTACTACAAACTTTACATGTCACATGTCACAAAAAAATACCGAAACAGCCCTATGTTTGTCCACAAACATAAATCTAGTTTATTCATGTTTTCATTCGTGTTTTTTAATTATGAATTTTATTCACGATCATGAGTAAAACACTTAACAGCAGAAGTTTCTGATTTTCTCACACTGGCCAAGACCCTCCCTCCAATGTCGTTCGCAGCAATGTTTTCCTGAGATCTCGCCGTCCTTGGCCTTCCTGAACGTCCTTTGTCTTCCTGAACGTCCTTTGTTGTGGTTGAGGCTGGTTCCATGTGCTTCATACTTTCTTACGTTGTCCCAGATTGTTTTCTTTGCTGGTGGTTCACGGTCTGGGAATGCTTCTCCAAGGGCATCCTGTGTAGCCTGCAAACTTCTTGATTCGTGCAATTTCTTGACCACAAAGATTGTATGTTCTGCTGTTAGCTGAATCATTGTGACAACCTGAGGTTTACACACTGTCTGAAGGCTAGAATGAAATGGGTTCAAAAGTGAACCAACTGCATTTTTGCACCACAACTTCAAGACAATGGTGCTCCATGATGCTTGACCCTGGAATGTAACCCATGGTATTATTAAAAAGCACACAACTTCAGCTTTAAGATGATACCATGCATCTTGCTTGTCAGGGGCGGATCTAGGAATTTTTGTAGGGGAGGGGGTTTTCATCAGCAAAAAAATCTGAAAATGTACACAGGTTTTGCTGTTCAAATTCGACGATTATTAACACTAGATTACAGAATGGTGTACCGTATTTTGAACAGGCAGACATTATACCAGTATAATTTTTATGGGGTGTCACAGCGGGAGGGGGGGGGGAGATTTCGACTTATTTTTAAGGAGTTTGTAAAGGAATTTTTTTTTTTGACAGAGCTGGGGGGGGGGGGGGTTGACCCCAACCCCCCAAACCCCGGATCCGCGCCTGCTTGTAAACAGATAGTCTGGCCATAATAATCCTTTCAAGTTGGGTTACCTTTTTTTTGAGACACCATGTAGTGTGAATAAATTGTAATATTTAACAGAAAATCGTAGAATTTCCGGCCAATTTAACAGATTTGGCAGCCAAATTGATGACGTTAAAATATGGTGAAGTTTTAAATGACAATGTATTATATAAAAAAAGAACACAAAACACCTACAAACTGTTTCGGCAGGCCGTGGCGTGATGCAAACTGTTGAATCCCTTCTTGTTCACCTGACGGAGGTCAGTTTGTGGGTGGTTTATCAGCCAATGGATGATCTGCTTGTTGTTCTTGGCAATTGCGAGAAATAGTGGCGAGTTACCATTACTGTCCTGTTAGAAAAAAAAAGGAACGTTTTTCACTGTGCTCTTTGTCTGCAAGTTGACTTTAAAATCAAATTTACAATGTTTCGATACAGAAAGTTTGGCAATCCCATATAAATTGGCCGTCGTGTAATTTAGTTTTCTACATTTAATTGTTGTTGTAGATTTAGGCCTCAGTGTCTGCTATAATTAGTTATTTTTCCTTTAATTATATCCTGGGATTACTTGGTTTCAGAATTATATCAAGCAAATTCACGATTATTTTAGATGTTACAATGATGGCTCCGCATGCATTTCTCTTGGGTATGTTCGTCTTAGTAGTACAATAGCATTAACTCATACCATGACGTTATCGTGTGGTTTATATCGATATTTGAAGTTTTGAAGATGATCACCATATCTCCCGAACCCAGCATGCTAAATTCAAATTCTTTTTGTATTAGGTTTCTTAGAAATAAGGTATATGCACACAATGTTTGAAAAATCTGTGACATCACGATGACGTCATCAAAAATGCGATTTTGCGAAACACATAATTATAAGGTTAAGTCCGATTGATTGAAACTTGGTGGTAGGTAGATACTGTTAATAGTATGCAAAATCTGAAGTGAACTCATGATGGTGTCATCGCCTGATTTTGTTATTAATTGATAAACCTTTTACATTTCTTTTAATACAAAAAAATTGACATAGTATTATTCAAAAATGCGGAAAAGCCTGTGTTCTGTTCATCGAACAGACAAAGCTCTTGTTTTTACATTCCTTTTGGTCAGATACATCATTGATGACAGTTTGAACAAACGTTTGTGTAGACCAGGACAACTTTATTTATGGATTTTAATTATTGTCCGAAGATATACAATAAATAACAATACAATTTCAACAAATAACAAATAAATTCTTGTTGGAATGTTGTTCGCAGTTGGAATACCGATTTTGTTTATTATCCATATTTTTTTTCCATTTTCTAATGCGCAATGTTTGAAAGAAAAAGCTTCACTGTGCATTGGAACATCCACATTGAACATTGTATTATAACAAGTTAACATTTTTATAATGATGTGAGTATAACTATGCAAATAATAAACACTCAACTTACTTGGTAGTTGACATCGCAATTCTGCTTTCTGAGCAACACCTCTGCGCATGCCTCGTGACCTTCAGCAGAAGCAAGGTGGAGTGGTGTCAAACCATTGTTATTGGCTGCGTTTATGTTGCTCCCGGCAAGGAGAAGATTTATGACAATATCCGGTTTGTTACTAAATATGAGATTAAGAAAATGCCAAACTACCTTTCATCACGCTAACATTAAAAACAAAGAGATTAAAAATTACTTTTACTAAAACTGCACCATTTAAAGCACTGTATGCACACAGGTAACAAAGCAACTGGCGAAATGGCTGAGAGCGACGCATCTGTTAAGCAATTTACATTTGCTTTTGCTGTATTGTTCATAAATGGATGGATTTTGGGGTTAGTATTTTATAGCAAATATTGTTACACTGACCTGTTGAAAGTTTTGTCTTCGTAGATGTTCGAAAAACCAAGAAAAAAATGTGTAGTCTGGTTCACTGACTCTACATCAGACGAAAACGGAGAAATGTATAGACCTCGGGGAATCGTCAGGTTAGAGAACCAGACTAGCCGGCTTGCTCCAATGTGGACTAACTGAATTGTGTAAATTTTGGGCAATATTTGAAAAAAATATGCTCACCCAAGTACAGCATAGCTTAATGCAGTGTCACCGTCCTTATCCTGCTGTTCGAGTGGTGCTTTATACTTGACCAATACATTCACCGCATCCACGTGACCACGATGAGCGGCTGCCTGCAGTGCCGTCTGTCTTTTGTAATTCTGAAATTTTACCTAAAGGACGAAATAAACATAGACTCAAGGATCTCCAACATGCTTGATGTAGCGCGTGACACTGATACATGCGATTTTCGTCCCCCGGACAATGTGTACAGGGAAAGAAAAATCCGGTCACACCGGCAGTAAATGATGGGAATTGGATTCTGCAGCGTCAATAGGTAATTTTGTATTTGCTGGTGAAGCGTGAATGTAATTTTGTGCTAGCCAGTACAAGAACACTCAGTCTGTTCCTATAATTTTAAATGATACTCATCTTGATCAGGTTAAGGGTACCAAATTTTTGGGAATACATATTGATGAGAATTTAACTTGGAAGAATCATATAGACGTTATAACAACTAAAATATCAAAAAAATATTGGTATAATGAACCGTCTAAAATATTTTTTACCTAGTAGCATATTACTAACCTTGTACAACTATTTTGTTTTACCGTATTTAAATTACTCAATTCTGACCTGGGGTAGTCCAACTCCTTAATGCAACAAACTGCTTACTCTACAGAAACGTGCAGTTCGAGTAATTTTTAAAACTGGCTATTGTGAACACTCTCGGCCTCTATTTGCAAATTTAAAATTGTTAAAATTCATTGACCTGTATCATCTTAACTTAGGATATTTATGTATAAATGTATGAATCGTGCATTACCTGCTTGTTTTAATCCCTGTTTAACACTTACTTCAAACATTCATTCATATAATACGCGCAGTACTACTAGGACAAATCTGTATGTTAATTATTGTAGAACGACATTGTCCAAAAACAGTGTTGTCCAACGTGGCACTTTATATTGGAGTAGTCTGGATAACTCTTTTAAATCATCACCCACTCGCTCTATTTTTGCTAGAAAACTAAAGAAAAAAATCAATTTTAATTGCATACTTAAACAATGTAATAGGGATAATAACAGCCTTGATTACAGTCTTACACCGGTGTTTGTGCTCTGTCTTTCCATGTATGTCTGTCACTTGTCTGTCTGTCCATAGGCTGGGGAACAAAAGCTTATGCTTCACCCCGGACCTAGATGCTGCCATTTAGTTAATGTTCACTCTTGTAAAAATATATATGTACATGTATTGCCAATTTGAATATATAACATTATGTATCGTCCTTTATGCAGCATCGAAATAAATGTATGTATCTCTTTAATGGTACAATCAATCATTCATCATAATACGGACTCATTGGTAGTCGCATACCTGTATATAATAATTGGGAGAGAGTGACCGGTCACGTGAGATGGTTTAACCACTAATAGGGTTAAGGGGTCCATATTTCATGGGAGTTCGATTTTCATATGACACCGGTCGTTGCCAAGTAATGCTGACGTGGCCAAAGAAGACTTTCTTTCGCTGAACCAACGGTCATCTTACATAAAGACGCAAGTTTTTCACGGTGCAAAGAAGATTAACGTAGTTTCTTGTCGTAATCTTCTCACCGCATCTGGATGATCATTGATGATCCTTCGCACTTTGTTGGTGTCGCCAACAGCAGCCGCCCGGAAGAGAACAGCACCGCTCGATCTATCCTCTGATCCGACAAGCAGATCCCCGAGTTTCTCCAGCTCTGACTTCAGGTATAGAGCGGCCAGTAATTCACCTACATTGAGCTCTGAAACTGGATAAAAAAAAAATCGTGATCAAAAGTTGCCACCAAACAAACACGACAATAGAACGGAGTGTATAAGACAACGAGTTGTACTAGGCTTTCTGTTTGAAACTTTAAAACAAAATGTCCTATTAGCCATGTCTGAAATCAAGACACTCGCATCAAGCTCTGGCATCATAAACGCAGTCAATCTGTTAAAAACAACGCAGCTCGTGTGAGTTCCTAAGACCGGATTCACAGGTCTGTGGATGCCATTATCTTACAATTTTTTTAATCAAAACGTTTTGGCGTCATCTATTTATCCATGATTGTTGGCATTCTTTAGACTATCCCATGTACCTCCAGCACCGGCTCTGGTATCTTCAGCTTCCTTCTTTTTCTCCATGACGAGACACAGCGGATTAACGAAGTACGACGCTCCGCCAAAGTTGACCTTGACGTCGCCATCTTTGTCGACCGCGATGACTTCACCGACTTTGCCTCTGTACTATGGGGCCAATATTAAAGTTACTAAGATTGATTTTATTTTTTTCCAAGATTTTTTCATGTGTTGTTTTTGTTTTCTACCATGAAGATGTTGCCAAATTCGAATTTACCTATTTATTGTTATTTATTCCGAAGTCGACCATTGTGTGCATGTGTCAGTTGTCAAACAAATGGTTCTTGGACTTCACTTTCATTAAAAAAAATCCTCCAGAGCCATGAATCAGGAGAAAAAAGTTCAATATAAAGAATGTGGAAACCAATTATTGTACCCCTTAGGTCGGTCTTTGTAGGACGGTACCCTGCAAAGAAAATTCTCAAGAAGAGGGATACAGGGAGAACAATGCAAGACGACCCCATATATAACATCCGTATGTGCATGACCACTTTCATAACTCTACTACCTAATGACTGAACCCTCATAGTTTGTGCACGACACTTCACTATATTGCACAAACAGTTAAATTACCTCTTTCATGGAAAGCGCTTGGACATGGTTTCGACCAGTTATGACCCGCTGTGTACGTTGCTGTCAACTTACGTCTTTGATTTCCTCGTTCCAGCCACAACTCTCTAGCTGCAGTTCCTTGAGCTTCGTAGGGTCCATGTCAAGCAGACGGACCTTATCTCCGGTATCCAAGTAAGGGCGGAGGCTAGTGGCATCTGTATTGGCGCAAAACCCAAGAAAGAACTAGAGGTTCGCGTTTGTTGTTACAAACGCAGAGTGGTCGGGTAGACAACCATTTTATTAGACATTGTCCAATTAACTTATGAATATGTTTATGTCAGAAAAAAAGGACCAAGAACTTCAACATCTCCAGTACCAATTATATTATACAAAAAGAATACGTCTTTTAAAGTATGATAAATTTCAGTAAACAGTTGGGTACACGTACAAGTTATTTCCGGTTTGATGGCGTCATCAGTCAAAACAGGGAATGGAGGACACTTGTTTTATCATTAAGTACAAATAACGCATGGAAATATGGAAATTAAGTGTATGTAATAATAACAGCTAACTTCCAGTTTGATGACGACACAGTATTTGGAAGCAAAAGGTCAATATTAAGTGTAACAAATGTCATTTTTGGGGTGCAAAAAAAACGAAGTCATGAGACAGGGATCAAATGATGGATTTAACATAAAAAAATAAATAAAATGGTCATTGTTGAACTCTCCCTACAGTAACTTCCGGTCTGATGACGTCATGATTATGAAACCTTGCAAATTCCTTTGTGGTTGCTCACGGGATATATAGGGGCAATATATCATAAAATATTGATTTAGAGTTTTAACATTTGAAAAGATTAAACTGTTTTCCATGTGCTGCTGGAGGGCGCCCTTTCGTGGATGACGTCAAAATAATGTTTTTGTAATTGGCATTCCTTACTTAACACTTCCATAATTTATTTGTCTGTAGTAAAATGCTTCCGTTTTAGAGTTAGATTCAGTTTCTATTGCACTTCCGGTAACATCGGAAGTAAAGGTCAAGCAGTTTTGTGCCCGGGAATGTTGCTGAAGGCACCGTCTACAACCTCACGAAAAAACAAAAACGATACTCTATTTAGTTCAAGAGATATAGGTCAAAGTATTTTGTCAAATCGTGCAATCAAATCATGTAATTTGATACCTGATGACGTCATGATGACGTAACAACAGTTATAACATCTTCGTAACATGGTACAAATTCACACTAGGTTTTATGATCATACCGTAAACCGTTTGGAATAAATTGTGCTTTGTTTCGATTTCAGGCTAATGTCTTCATCTTGAATTCACATAAATTTGACCTTCCGGTAGACCCGGAAGTAAAGGTCAAGCGAGTTCACGCACACAACAAAAAATGTTTAACAATTTATGGTCTATCTGATTACAAAATTGGAGTATAATTGATCATTTTGTTAAAGAGTTATAGATGAAAGAAGATTGTTACGAAAACAAAAATCGCTTGTAATTTGACACCCGATCTAACCATAACCAAGTTGTCTCAGCTCGACAGTTAACTGCAGTTGGTATTTAACCTGAAAGCAATCAACTTTTCTTTTCCAAATAATTAAAAAGCCTACACACTTCTGTAAATAAAATCGGTGTTTTTTTTCCAAAATTAAAATAAAAAATAAGAGTAGCCTCTTCTTCATTCTTAGCAAGGACTTCTTCAGAGGCAAATGACACTGGAACAAGAAACAAACATGTAGGGACAAACACACATGCAGGGTTGGGAGAGGAAACACAAATCAGGGATTTGGGGGCCATATTAAATATAGCTCTATGGGGGGGGGGGAGGAGGGGCAGACCAGTGTGTGTGAAGATCGAAGGGGAATAAGGAAATAAGGGAACAGAGGGGATTTGAAGGAACGAATGATGCAGGAGGGAACACAGGAGACTCGTAATGAATGTGGTATAGTGTGAATGGGAGAAGATGGATAATAGTATGGACGGGGGTGAGTGGATAAGGAAATGGGTAAAATTGAAAGAGGAGTGCAATGAATAGGGTGTTAGTGTGAATGATAGGGGGTAATAAATGGGGGAAACTTGTGGATAAGGATAAGGGTGAAATTGAAAGGGGAGGGAAAAGAGGAAGAGTAAAACCCGAGAGTGTAAGGCTGGATCTGAAATAAATGACACTTGGAGAAAAAAAATGAAACATTAATCATTGCCTTGCTTGACGTTCAGACCATGTTGCTCAACAGTCAAAAGACGATTCATCCATTCTGCTCCCTGCTTATACGAACTGAGTCCTTGCGACGGTTAAATTACTCTATACCCTGTAAAATCATAATTATCAGAAATTGAATGTTAGGCAGGTTTAAGTGGTAACCGACAGGGTTATCCAGTCTCTTGGTGTTGACAGTTGATTGATGACCATAGAAACGTTGTTCAAGCGTGTTCTCTGTCTCCCGAGCATACGGTACTCCTAAAAGCCTGCAAGAGATGAGATATATGACTTTGGAGGTGTTGTAAGTGATGTTACCACAAGTGCTATGGGTGGTGCCAGAAAATTGTACTGACCAAGAAATTGTTCTTGGTTGGCACAAGTCTCATGAGGGTGTCTATATCACTGGTTGGAGACGTCGTGTGTCCTGTCTTGGTTAGGGCCATTGAACACGTCTTCCTCGAACGAATAACTTCCTCATGTGGGATGTTGGTTAACAAAGATAAGACGTCAATAGTCCCAGTGTCTGGGGTATCATGGATATATACGATGAGATCCATGGGACGCAGGGTTTGAGAAACCTGTCAATAAACAGGGAGATACTTTCCGTGGAGAACCATTACCAGAGACGATGGGCCAACCGGGCTAACCAGCATTGTGAATCTTGGGAAGAAGATTGCCAGTCCTACAGTCTGTTGGGAAAGAAATGTGTGAGCTTTCTTGGGCAACTGGTCACGTGGTCGTATATCGTCCAGCACCTGTTGTATCTAACAGGAAGAACCTGTGGGGTCAGAGGCAGATGAAGTTAGTTCGATTATTCAACTAGTGGTGGGTCTCGTCAATGTACTGCTGACGATTCACGATGACCACAGCTGAGCCTCTGGGTCTGCTGGCTTGATGTTAATGTCAGTACGATGACGTATAATGTAAATTAAAATGATCCCCATGGAAAATTGTATGCTCATTAAGGGAACACCATGGGGATTTTATGGACACAATGGGAACACCATGGTGATTTTATGGACACCATGGGAACACCATGGGAATTTAATCGACACGGTGGGGATTCTATGAACACCACGGGAACACCATGGGTACACCATGGGGATTTTATGGACACAATGGAACACAATGTGGATTTTATGAACACCATGGGGATTTTATGGACACCATGGGAACACCATGTGGATGTCATGGACACCATAGGAACACCATTAGGATTTTATGAACGAATAATTTCACAGGGAGTTAAGTCCCTTACTATCTTTCAACCAAGTATGTTTTTCAACAATAATTACGCCAGTTACTTTTTGGATAGCTGCAAATGATGGACTCTGGCTTTAATGCGTACTTGTGCACTGACATCGAGTGATGTAGTCAACCTATAGTTTTTTTCTCTTTTCTACATAAAAATCTGAATAAAAAAATTAGTTAGTGAAGTTTCCGACTTATCATTGTTTGTATGGCTTGAAGTTATGCAGTGCTTGGAAAAGTTGTCATATACTCTTATGTAAAGTTCGTTCCTTATTGTATAATATACAATATCTCAAGCGGGTCGTGCCCCTACCACCACAAGCAGTTACGCCACTGCCGGTACTTTAGCAACGGGGTTTTACTGTACATTATTCAGGGAATTAACATAACATTTCTTTGTTCAGCGAAAAAAATTCTAGACATTTCCCTAAATCGCTACTTCGCAGCCAATATGGCACAACTTCATTATTTCTTACCGAGCCTTGGAAGATGCTCGATGTAGAATTCTCCAGCGGTGTCTTCTTGCTTGTATTGTACGTCTAGCTTGCCTCCGTGACCCCGCCGGTACTGGTTAGTAGAGCGGTTGGGCCATTGAACTTTGACCCAGGTACGACGGGTTCCCTGTGCACTAATCACTTCCTTCACGGTTCCAATTTCCCCCTCTCCTCCTATCAGAGTTATAAAAAAATGTTTGTTAAACCACAACACCTTTAAGGATTTAATTTAGTTGCACTTCCCCAATGCCTCCTTGTTAGACTTCCACGTGGAGTATTCAGGAGGATAACCACCAAGTAAGTAAAGAAATACTCAAAAGACAAAATAAAAGGGCCGTCCATAAAGTACGTACGAACGAAGGGGGGAGGGGGTGTTAACATCGCGTACACATGCGATCATCTTCCTCTACCCTCAACAGTGTCATGCCAAAGGCTTTCTTGGCCATAAAAGACATTGATCGGGCCCATCGCCTGGGAAAGCCCACACAAAGCCACGACAACGACTCCGACCGATGATCATCAAATTCATCAACTACTACAATCGTGCAAGGGTCTTTGGGCAAAAGCGTCTGCTGAAGGGCTCCGGCATGATGATAACTGAAAGCTTAACTGCAACCCGTCTAGCCTTGCTCAAGGCAGCTCAAGCTAACCATCATGTTGAGAAGGCCTGGATTGCTGATGGACGCGTTGTCTGTCTTCTGCCGAACAAGCGAAAGGTAACTGTGACCACCATGTCTCAGCTTGACAAGCTTTAATTTGCATGCCATCTATTGCCCGTGCATGCTGCATGCTGTATACCATGAACCTATTCCTCTGCTTACATTGGTTGCAACTGTTTTGTTTTGCTTATCTTGTTTTACTTCGCAGTACTCATTCTCTGATATCTTTAAGTTGCAATGCATGTCATATCTTCACCATCAAACCCATTGTTTTCAGCTCATTATAATTTATGTTGCTTACTCCTAAATTATTATAATTTTACCAACATTTTGCCTTCTTTCCTGGTTAAATCATCATGATTATTATCACTTTCTTCAAAGAGTGCATATTTCATAACTTGTCGAATCACTGTTATTGTTTCTGTTACGTTTAAGATTATTATTTATTTACCTTCCTTTTCGTGCTAAACTTTATTCCATGTATTTTCAATTAATTTTCTTTCTTAGTTTTATGTGTGTATCTTTCGTGTATAATGCCCATTAGGTTCCCTTGTGTCTCTTGTAACCTCTCGGTCAAGGCAAATCAAAACGGTATTCTCTGTGACGTTAGCAACAGTTGGGTTCACTTAAAATGTTCAAGTCTTACCCTGGCCCAATATAATAGTTAATCTGAAAGTGATGAAGCTTATATCTGTCACATTTGTCTTTTAAACATTTTACCTTTTAATTACCTGGATAATGCTGGTTTGCAAGACCTCATAACCCCAAGACAATGACAATAGCCCTATGCTTGACGATTTCAGTCCATTAAATCTTTCCACTTCTTTACCTTCTCTCAATTTGTTGGATAGCCAAGATCACAATAATCCCCTACAAGTCACCAATAATTGTATTAATATTAGTGACACTGACCTACACAAAAACAATGAACGAAGGAAATCGCTTGTCAGATTTTAATCTTGTCCACTTTAACATCAGAAGCCTACCTAAAAAATTCCATAACCTGAGAATTACTTTACAGTCGCTGAGTGAATTTACTATTATTGCTTTTTCTGAGACCTGGCTCAAAGAAACATCCTGATATGTTCTCATTGCCATGCTATACTCTTCTTACATATAATAGATCCAAAAAAAAAAATCGGTGGCGGTGTCGGTAGCCATATATATCCACGATAGTGTAAAGTTTGTGGCCAGGCAAGATTAAATTTATTCAAATTATTCAATTGCATCTCTCTTTGTCGAAATAAACGCTGGATCATCACCAAATGTTGTCACTGATTTACAGGCCTCTCAGGGCTTCTTATGATGACTTCATGCTCAATTTTAGTGATATAATAAGTTCTCCATCTTCGCAAAATGAAACCTGCCTCCTGTCTGGTGAGATCTAATCGACAATATCTTTACAAACATCGCCACTTGTCCTAAATCATACATCCTAGTGAATGATATTACTGCTCATTCCAGTCCCTTCCTTAAGCTCAAAGAAAAAAATGGAGGTCCCTAATAAGTATGTTCACTCATATTCAAAGGATAGCCTAAATAAACTAAATCATGGGCTAAATTCTGCTAATTGGCCTCCTGTCTATGATACTGAAGACTCCAATATAGACTCCAATCATCTCCTTACCACATTCGCTCAAAAAGCCATTTCCTTCCAAGGTCCCAAGCTATGGAACTCCCTCCAGCGGCTCTTTCAAAATACCGAATCTGATATCATATTCAAAACAAACTTTCAAGCAATTCCTCTTAAACAAATACGCCTAAGCCTTGTTCGCTATTTATTTTGTCATATTTTAATTTATGTGCACCAACAATTTGTTGATCATTTCATTGTAATATTATTATCGACATGTACGTACTTTTCCTTTTTACCTTATAATGGTGTTTTTCTTGATTTTGTTGATGATTTTGTTTCATCATCGTTTTTACATACATATTGAAATTTATTTTTATTCATCCGGTTTGCCTTCCATGCCCACTCTTTGGATACATACATGGTGTGTTTGTAATCCATTTGTCTGTGTGTACTATAATCATGTTAATCTTGGGGTTCATACCCACAAGCTAAGCTTTTTTTATGGATTCCGCATCTCTATAAATTGTATTTATTATCTGTTTATTACCTTGTACTCATGTAAATTAAGAAATGAAATAAAGTCAAGTTCAAGTTCAAGTTCAAGGGGAAGGGGGCCAAGCAAATGCGGACGTACGCAAACAAAAATTGCTGGGAATAAATTGTCCTAAAATCAATGTACTTTCTCATATTTTATTGCTATCAGAATCAGCTTTTATGCATCGAAAATTGTTATAACACTGTACCCTTCACCCCCACCATTTAGATTTCTTCCCAGTGCCACCGCCAGTCAACACCTTTAGAGATAATTAAACTTCAGAGACCGCGAAATGATGAAACCGTGATTGTGATAAGGGCCCCTCTTTAGTTTTGGTAAAGTAGTTGAAGTCAATTTTTTTTAAATTCCAAAACAACTTTCGCAACCCACAGCTGACATATCTTTTAAATCTAATGACAAATATACATTTCTTTTTTTACAGTATCTTTCGATAGAAATGCATTTTTCGTACGCTTTTTACAGTTCATGCAATGTGAATAATCGCGGTTTTGGCACATTCACGGTACGTCGCGGTGATCGCCATCTTTATTTTCGTGTTGCATTTCGTTGTCTTAATTCGTCATCGTTTTACCCCCAATACCAACCAACCCCCCCAAAAAGATCACAACCCTGCCCTCTACATGTGTCCATGACACTCTTCAAGGCAGTGGCGTACACAGGATTTGACTTTGGGAGCTCACAATTTTTTTTTAGAAGTTTAAATGTTTTTCACAAAATGTTGCCCCTAGATTTTTGGCCGCAATTTTTTTTGGGGGGGGGCTGACTATGTTGACGTTGGTGGCGCTTCATACACCAATATTATACTACTCGAAAATAGGCCACATACATATCACTTAGAGCAGATCGTGGTAATTAAAAAAAAAACAATTACAAAAAAATCACACACAAAAAACCAACCTCTCTGAGGGGGGGGGGGGGCTGAGCCCCCCCCCCGAGCGCCCCCCCCCCCCCGCCCTTGGGTGTGCGCTGCACTCTTGTTGGTTTTAAATGTCCCTAACTAGTTTGGTAAGTTCAAGAAGTACACAATCGCCAATAAAAAGATTGCTTCAAGTAGTCGGCAAGCATGTTTATTCAAATGTACATGAACATGTATATTGTACACCGAATGCATATGCGTACCGGGGGGGGGGCAGGTTGAACCACTGCGTATGCCGTACGTACAAGGGAGGGGAGTTCTAAAAAGGCGGCTTTTCGTGCGTACGTACTTTATGGATGGCCCCAAAGAGAACGGGCAAAGGTGTCTATTTGGAAGTTACATTGGATAAACTATGGCTGATAGCTGAGAGACAATACTATAGTAAAGGTTAATTGCATCTGCAGCCTCCTGCTAAAAGAAATGGCAAAATATTTGCAAGTTAGTTAAAAATCCTCACCATCTTGATCTTCCCATTCCCAATCCGGCCCTCGCACCACTTTGGCACCTGGGAAAATGCCCAAAGAGCGGCATTTGGTGGCGCCCAATCGACAGGGAACCTCGACCCTGAAATGAAAAAAAAAATCATGATTTATGGTGACACGTATGCTACTGGCCTCACATCTGAAACACAAATTCGCGAATCGGAAAGGTATTTGCATACTAAATGAACAATGTAGCAGATTTCATGCAAAGCTTTCCTGGACACAACACAACATGTTGCGGCTTTTTTGTGTTTTGTCTTTATTGAATTTTTGTGTTTGTCGTTGTTGGTGTACAATTCGTTTCTAATTTATTGCGAGTCCGGAAGTAGACCTTAATATTGGCTTCATGGAGGATACCCTGGATTTTGAGTGATGCATGGCCAATGTATGGAAGGACGGCAATCGGCATGTGGGGTGTGCTCAGTGTCTGAGACTAGCTCCTATTCGGTACGAAATTTGTATTTTAGGTCTGTACCCATTGGGCCGAATTCTTAAAAAAAACTAGCAAATGCTTTTTCTAGGCTTCTTCATACATACAAATATGCAATTGCTAGTAAGCTAAAATTTCTAGTTTTAAGCAAAAGCAAAAGCTTGTTTCTTGCAAGCAAATGCCACCTGGATTAGCAATTGGCTAAAAACTACATAAAACAACCTTTTGCTTGTGTTATTCAGCAATTGTAGTTTTACATGATCCCCAAATGGTAGCTCGACCTCTCGCTTGTTAGTGATATTACAGACATCAGAGAAGATTTCTTCATGTTTATGCCCGCTAGAGACGACCGGGCTCGGCCTAAGGTGTACAAACCAAGAATAGATCGAAAAATCCAACCTATCATAAACTGTTTCGTTTCGACAAACAAAATGTGGCATGGCTGGCGCAAACATTCTTGCCTGACAATCACGAAACACGTAGTGTATGCCTGTCACCAACAGAGCGAATGGAGTCCACACTGCGTTAACGGCCTCAGGATATCAGACATCGGTCGCGCAAGTTACGGGGGTAACTCAGCCTACTGTAAGCAGATGTGTGGCAAGCACCATTAACATGATAGCTGATCAACATCCAGAATGGATCAAGTTTAGTATTGTTTGTCTGAGAAGCATGCATTCCCATTTACTATTGGGGCCATCTACTGCACCAACGTTCGCATCGACAAGCCACATGGACAATTTGGGGAGAAGGTGAAGGCTACTTGTGATGAAAAGTTTGACTTCACAAGCGTGGATGTTGGATGGCCAGGATCTGTTCACGATCCTCGCATCTTCCAAGCATGGGAAGTACACAAAGCAGTATCAACAAATGTGCACGGTTTCCTTCTTGGGGATGCTGGATACGGAATACCTCCTTACATCATGAGACCCGACAGTAATCCCGCGACTCCTTCCTAAAGGAACTTCAACAGGCTTCTTTCAAGTAAGAGGGTCGTTTTCGAGCAGTCCTTTGGACAAATGAAGCGGCGATTCCCTATTCTGAAAAATGGCAATCGGCTCAAGATAGACAACATCCCAAATGCATCATGACCTGTGTCGTGCTTCACAACGTGTCCAAATTTCTGAACGATCCTGATGATGATCTTCAGGAAGACGGCAGTGATATGTTGGGAGAGGAGGAGGATGTCGCTAACGGTGCAGTCAACAACCTACAACCTAGCATGCGAATCACACGACGTCGTGGACAGCAGCGACATGACGAAATTGCTGCACTTCTATTTGAAAGGCCTTAGTTATCATTTTTGTTTGTGAGAAAAATCTACATTACTACGTGTAAATGAAGAAATTCAAGTTCAGCTTTAACAAAATCCAATCTTTATTTGTTCAATGACGTCTCTTTTTCTTTTCAGTGCCTGTTGCCACATTCATACTATGCAAGAATTAAGATTTCTTATTTTGCTCTAAAGCATAATGATACAAAAATCATCACAGTTTGCAACTTTCTCATATGTAGTGATAACAATATATAATCTATAAACGAAACACTTTCAGTGTTTTCTTCTGACAACTAGTTTTAGTTATTTCTTACGAGCCGCTAGAGGGCGCTGCTACAATTCCCGCAAAAGCCAAGTTCAGGTCGATCACGGTTGATTTTATATTGATTTTCAAAGATTAAATCTAGAAATCTTTAATAGCTTGTAATTTGATACCTGATAACGTCTTGATGACATAACAAAATTTATAACATCTTCGTGAGATGGTACAAATTCACAGGAGGGTTTATGATCATCCCGTAAACCGTTCGGAAGAAATTTTGCTTTGTTTTTATTTCAGGCTAATATCTTAAATTTGAATTCACCTAATTTTGACCTTCCGGTAGACCCGGTGTAGCGTGAATTTAGGTTTCTATGAAAATCGGACTCATTGGTAATACTGCGCATGCGTAAGTATGATAATTAGGAAAGTGACCTGTCACGTGAGAGGGATTAACATATAAAAGGGAAAAGGGGTCCGATTTTCATAGGAGTCGGATTTTCATGTGACACCGGAAGTAAATTGTTTCTCAATTAATGGGTTATCTGTTTACAAGTTTGGAACATAATTGATCATTTTGTTCAAGAGTTATAGGTGAAAGAAGACGGTCATTTTTTTCATTGAAAAAATCGCTTGAAATTTGACACCCGATGACGTCAGGGTAATATGCACCACTGGGGATGAGGGTCGATATATATAGAAAGTTACAAGTTCACACCATGTACTGTTATTGTCCGGAAAAAAAGAAAGATGGAAGGAAAGAAGAATATCAGAACAATTCTAGACAGTGGTCGACTAGAGGTTTGCGTTCGTTGAGTTACAAACGCAGAGTGGTCGGGCAAACAACTATTTCATTAGACACTGCCCAGTTAAGTTGTGAATATATTTGTTGTCAGAGCAAAGGCAAACAAAACTTCAACCTATCCAGTAAACCAATTATTTTGCAAAAGAATATGCATATTTCAGGGTATGATACATTTCAGTATGCTTTTTAGGTACACGTACAAATTATTTCCGGTATGATGACGTCATCAGTCAAAAATAGTGTCAGAGTTGAACCAGATCGAATTGTACATAGAATAAGATGTGTAATTATTTTCCCCAGTTTTGTTTGTTGTCACAAAAGTTTGTTGCACTTACCTTTTCCCCCCCTGTATATTCACAAGTGTTGAATATTCATTTTATGCCAAGATGTCATGAATTTGCATTTGAAGTAATGGGTAGGGCTCTAGAAAGTGGACCATGCATCTAAGACTCAAGAGGGTAAGTATACACAAAAAGACTGGAATTTAAACAATTGGGTGGGGTCTTGTAGTTATGTGCATTGAAGTGTGAGGCAGTATAGGTGTGCCTTCTACATCTACCCATGGTCAGTTGTCTTGCTGCCTACATTGCATTGCAATTCACCAGTGGTCAAGCTCTGTCAAATGTAGCAAGTTTTTTTCTACATGATTGTCAGCAGAGCTTTTTGCTCTTCGGGTTTTGCCTAATTTTGTATCCCGAGTTTGCTCAACAAGTGTTCTTCATATGGGAGTAACAGCTAGACTTCCCCGTTTGACTTTGGGACTGGTGACGGACTGCAGGCAACGACGGAGGCCACAAATATGTAAGAAGATTTTAGTTTCTTTATTTAATGTAATTTAGAGTGCATTTTGAAGTATTCAGATTGAATGATGTACAGAGTTGGTAGATTAGTATCTACATCATTTTGTTGAAGACTTTGCTCTTGTTTAATGGTCGATAATGCTCATTCGAATAGTGCTTGTTTATATGTGACTAGTATGATCGATTCTGTATATTTCTCCTGCTATGTGTGAAGCATAAATGCACCACTATTTTGGAATCGAATTCATTAATTTTACAGAGGGCCCTTTATATGTGGCAGTTATCTACCGAGAGGTTACTACTCGATGTGTCGTCTCGATACAGTACGTAGAGGGTGAAGACGACTGTAATCTGGCGTGATTGACTAGAGTCTGATTAGCCCCATAAATGTGGCCTATTTACTGGACTGCCTCCGTAAACATAGGCCACACATCCACATGTACAAAAACGTGTCGCACTTTGCCAAATTTTGATTTTCACATTTAGGCTTAGTTTGTAGGTGTGTTTGCTTTAGAAGCATTCTCACCCTCTTTATAGGCTAATCAGAAAGTGCTGCCTTTTTCAGATGTCTATTTTTTGTTGAAATTTCATGTTGAAATTTTCATACGCAAACGTGTGCAAATGTATCCGGAAATTTCACGAAAAATAGACATCTGAAAAAGGCAGCACTTTCTGATTAGCCTATAAAGAGGGTGAGTATACTTCAAAAGCAAAACAAACCCTACAAACTAAGCCTAAATGTGAAAATCAAAATTTGGCAAAGTGCGACACGTTTTTGTACATGTGGATGTGTGGCCTATGTTTACGTAGGCAGTCCAGTAAATAGGCCACATTTATGGGGCTAGAGTCTGATGTGGGCGTGCGCGTGGCTACCCTGCTTGTGGGCGTGGCTACCCTGTTCATGGGCGAGGCTACTCTGCGTGGTTCTACGCATCTGACGTGGACACGGAATGAAGAGTGGACGCAAGATAATAAATTGAACATTTGGTGGAGGGTTTAAGTTTACTTTGCAATTTTGTTACTGTATTTGAATTGATATTGAGTAATTTCTATTGAATCTTGCGTATTTGGCCTCTTTTGCCTTGGTGGCGTAAAGTTGCCTTAAGGGAGTAAAATTGCCTTGGTGGCGTATTGGCAGAGAGTGCCTTGGTGGCATATTGATATGATGGATTTTGCCTTGGTGGCTTGTAGTTGAATTGTGCCTTGGTGGCCAAGTAGTTCAGCCTTGGTGGCAGAGTGAGTTACATGTAATTTTCTGTATACTTGTTTGGTGTACGTTTTGGTGTATTTCGCAAATTGGATTTCATTGGAGTTAGTTAATAACTTGGTGTATTTGTACTTTGAGCTCCTAGGTTGATACCGGTATATTGGTTTATAATTGGTGTATTTGGATTTCATTGGTTTATTATTGGTGTACTTGGATATTAGTGGTCTATTATTGGTGTAGTTGGATTTCATTGTGCTATTTTGGTGTGTTGTCGATTTCATATCTGGTTCACGTTTAAAGTCTTTTGAACACTTGGTAACAAATTGTAACATAAAGATTTTATATCGACAAGAATTTTAAAGAGAGATTTAATGTAAATTAGTGAACCTTGGGAGTGTGTAAATAAATGTGTATATTTTGACACTAGACACTAGCCGAGTCCGTTTTCTGACTGGAGTTCTCACAAATAACAAGGGAAAACTGATTTAGTTCAAGGAGGATATCCGTTTATCCATAAATAAAAATACCGCATGGAAATATGGTTATTATAAGTGTATGTTTAAATAACACCAAACTTCCGGTTTGATGACGTCACAGTATTTTGAAGCACAAGGTTAATTTTAACATATGTCATTTTTTAGGCTAGAAACAATGTCATGAGACAGAGATCAAATGATGGATTTAAATTAAAAACAAAATGATCATTGTTAAATTCTCCTACAGTATCTTTCGGTCTGATGACGTCATGATTATGAAACCTTGAAAATTAATTTGCAGTTACGTGGAATATATAGGGGGAATTTCGTAACGTTTTGATTGATGGTTTTAAAATTTGAAAAAGTTACTCTTTATTTTTATGCGCCGCTAGAGGAAGTCTTTTTGAGGGACGACGTCAAAGTTATGTTTGGCATTCCTTACTTAGCACTTCCATAATGTGTTTGTCTGTAGTGAAATGCGTCCGTTTTCGAGTTAGATTCAATTTGTATTGCACTTCTGGTAACACCGGAAGTGAAGGTCAAGCGGTTTTGTACCCGGGAATAAGAAATGTAGCTCAAGGCACCGCCTCCAACCTCACAAAATATTAACACGAAGCTCTATTTAGTTCAAGGGATAAAACTCAAACTTTTTTCAAATTGTGCCCTTAAATCGCTTGTAATTTGATACCTGATGACATCATGATGACGTAACAAAATGTATAACATCTTCGTAACAAGATACAAGTTCAGACTTGGTTTTATGATCATTCTGTAAACCATTCGGAAGAAATGTTTGTGCTTTATTTATTTTAAACTAATGTCTTCATTTTGAACGCACTTAACTTTGACCTCCCGGATGACTTGGAAGGTCAAGCGAATTCACGTACACAACAAAAATGTTTATCATTTAATGGCCTATCTGATTACAAGGTATGAACATGATTGATCATTTTGTTCAAGAGTTATAGGTGAACGAAGACGAACATTGTTTCAACGATTTCAACGGTCATTTTTTTTCAAATCGATGACGTCATCATGACGTTAAGGTTATATGCTCGGGATAGGGGTCGATATATGTTTAAAGTTACAAGTTCATACAATAAACTGTCTAGGAGAAAACCCGCTGAGAAGTATTATCCGGAAAAAGAAAGAAAGACCTAAATAAATATTAATCCTAACAATTTCAAACAGTGGTTGGGTTGTGCCCGACCACTCAAACAGAGTGTAACAGATTTGTGCGATAACGTATCTCAAGGGCCCATGCGCAATATATAAGAAAATCAAGACAGTCATTCTGGAGGCAGATACTTTTGAAATATCTGTTATGGTTATAAAAATAGTTGTTGATAAAATTCTGCAGTTTTAATGTTTGCTGAAGAATGCTTAGGCTATACATTACAAACATATTAATTTGTCGCCATAATTTTGCTATCACCACAGACGTTTAATTCCGAAGTCCGACTCGGATCGGACCAGTCGGTTTAATTATGTTTGAATACACAAACTATGAGTCCAAGGTACATTCTGCTCTGAACACCAGGCGCAATTTGCCCTACTTTTTTTTCTGCAACCAAGTATATTCATTGAACATAATGCGCTGGCGTTAGTTGAATTCGTGAATCTAAAACCACGTGAACGTTATTGCAATCATGGGATATGATTCACGAACGTATTTTGGCTACTGACTATATCTGGTTGTAGAATAAAATCAGTATCGTGGGCATGCATGCAACGCCCACTTTTGAACTGTGCCCAGAGATAGCCAGGGTAGTGTAGACGTTCGTGCTTTGTAAAGAGCCGCGTTTAAAAACAGAACACGACGAAGCAATTAAAGTGCAGTCACGAGTGCATACTTGAGATACGACGTCTACAATGGCATTTAATACAGATAAATATCCCTGATATTGACATTCTTAAATCGAAACCGTGAATTTATGAACCGAGCATTTAAAAAAAAATGTTTACTCGGTTTACACAAAAGAAAAACCAGCACTTAACCCACTTACCCTGGAACTGAGTTGGTTTCGATCCTAGTGAAGCGATGACCCAGGTCATGCTTTCCCTCGTTATAGCAGCTGTGACACAAGTCAAAGTCATGACACTCCAGACATTTCCAGCGTATTCCTACGATACCGTCCTCTTGACAGCCGTCACAGTTCATATTTGGATGCTTCACTCCTAAATACAATATTTTATGACACTTAGAAATAGAATTTTGACGAAAAGACCTTATTCACAAGGAAACCATTTTCGAGCGCGTTCACTAAATCTTTTTTATAAATTGTAAACTGTTGAATGGGATTGTGAATGTGCCTTAAAACATTAGGGTATGTTTAATCACAAAAATGAAATTGTTCACATAGCTGACTGGTATTATTTTGTAATGAACTTTTATGTCATCGCTTTCATTTCTACTCGCAAGTTCCAAAAATGAAGCCTTTACATCGCTTTCAATTTAATATTTCCGACTCGTTAATAAAGTCTATAACCCCTTCTTCGATTTTTTTTTTGGTTGTAATCAATGACACGTCCCTGACTAGGTATGTACAACGTTTCAACCCAATCGGACTTATGGTTCTGTAGATATATTTTTAAAGATTGCACTTTTAAGACTAAAGATTGCACTTTTAAGACTACGTCACAAGACCCGTGATCACCTGCCGCCAGAGTGCGCTCGAATAATGCATGACGCCACTGGTCAGATTTTTGAAAAGCCCACCTTAATGCTGCAAACTCACATTAATGAAAGTAAATTCCCATTTTTTACTAAGTTAAAATAACAATTAGGCACTTCCGGTTTCAACAGGAAAGAAGGGTCACGTGATTTTGCACGGAATAGTAATGAAGACCCCAGATAATTCTATCCATTCCTGTCAAAGCAAAATCAGATCTTTCATATTTGATTCTACATTGATTTTCAAAGATAAAATCTAAAACTCTTTGGTTGTTTGTATCTGATACTTGATGACTGACGCTATCGTGACGTCATTACCGGAAAGCTCGAGAGCCATGTTAACTGTGCTTTTTTAAGCAAAAATCTGGATTATATCTTTCCCAGTTGATTTTTCGTCAATTTTTTTTAAGGTTTCAAGGTCTTTTTATTGTACCTTTCGGTCTGGTGACGTCATCGATCTTCCTCCCCTCAACGTTTTGTTAGCATGAAGCTGATTATATACACCAATTATAAAATGATTTCATCAAACTTCGCCATACACATCAACTAATTATTTATTTCAAATATTTTTCAAACTACAACGAGAGGGCGCTCTAACATGTTAAGACGTCACCGGTATTTGTTTGTAAAGTACAACCTAGCCAGAGATTATTAAGCACCGGCCATCTTTAGATTTTACGCACTGTTGTTGCTTCAGTGAAAAAAAAATGCACCAAAATGAAAAATGACCTACCCTACCTTTAATTGCTTTTCTTTTTCTATTTTGAAAAGACAAAGGCAGGTGTACTTGTGGTTATTTTCCTTTCAGCAAGAGTCTTGACATAAGCAACTTTTTGTACATTCACACGATTTCCACTGACAACTGTTACTATTACCCGGTTTATTTTGGTCGACATTTTTGTTCAACTTCACATGATTGACAATCTGGTCCCGCATCTTTTCTTGGTCTATGCATGAATTGTCAATGCGTGTCAGTGAGGCAACCACAGGCATTATTTCATCAAACATTTAAATAAAGTCTTCTGTTGGCTGGTTCGATCGCTCCCTCAAACAATTTCTGATCTCCCAATATGAAGCGTAGTTTCCTTACTTTCCTCATAATGGCACCCCCCTCCAGATCCGTCAATGATCATTTAACGACCGACTCCGCGATACGGACTGTAAAAAAATAATAACATAACATGTATCGGAATGGGGAACTTGCAACAAGCTGGCGGCCACAACTATGGAGTCGGACTGAGGGGATCAAAACAACTTTCGGGTCTTACCTAGTTGGGCGTTATCGTAAATCCGCAGATCGTACTGTCCGTTTGCTCCACCAGCGCGGTACTTTGCTTTCCTGCCCGAGTCCCATCGCACCCAGACGCCCTTGGCTATAAAACATGAAAAGAAGAGTCTCCAATAAGCAGAAAGGCTTAAGCAGACTTAATTTTGATACAATATACTATAACAGGAGGGAGGGAGGAATTATAATGCCCACTGCCATTAAATATTTTACACCTTGTCAGAGTACATGAATTTGATTTTGTGATTCTGCGTCGATCCGTGGTCCGTGCCAAAAATAGGCTATATGGCACATCCTTTACGTTATTATACTTAGTTCATACACGCTGCAAACTAAACCTCTGGACATACCTTTGACATGAGAATTTCTGCAATTTATTACGTTGTACTTACTACTCCCTTTACGTTACACTAACACGCTTCGAACTCAACCCTGGGGGCATACCTTGGACGTGAGAAAGTCTGTTATTAATGGTGTTATACTTACTACTCTCTGCGGGCTCGGCAGGGACCGCAGTGCCTACGCAGCCCTTCCCCCCGTCCTGTTCGCCAGATTTCCAGTCCGGTCCTCGTACAACTCGCAACCCTACGAACATGACGGTTTCCGCTTCGTGTGTTTTTCTGTTCACCACGATCTCAAAACCTCGTAATCCAGTTATGTGAACGGCTTCAACGCCAACCAATATACACAAGTTATTGTCGGTACCGGGTGATGACAAAAAGTTGCAATATCTTCATGATAGAAACAGTGCCTTCATTTGTTCCAGGATACTTGGATCGTTCAGTTCTTCAAAGGGGAGTTTTGTTGTTGACAAGTACCTTAATTTAGTGGTGTCATAGTAGGAATTGGCCTCAATTAAATCTGAACTTTACTGCTAAAGTGGCACATCTAAGGGGGAACAGCAGCAGATACGGGAGGGGAGCCAACGGGGCCAAGGCCCCCCCCCCCAAAAAAAAAATAAGAACTCAATTTTCTTTTTATAAGTGACGTCCCCCCCCCCCCAAAAAAAAGGCAGCCACTGTGTACAGCATTAAAATTGCGCCAACACGCACAAATTCCATGAAGAGTCCTAGTGCCCCCTTGCTTTATATATTAAATGTTGGGCGGAAATTTTGGACCCGCTCAAAATTTGGGAAAACAAAAAATGAATTTATGAAACGCATCACGCTCCCAATCAGGACACCTCTCAAGTGCCCCCCCCCTCTGCAAATGGGACAACAACTACGCCTCTGATTCGAGCAGTTTAAATCTCGTGCATGCTGCACACCTTACGCTTAATCCTACCCAAATATTAACAGCCTATTTTGGCCAAATTCAGATTTGTTTACTGAACATGCGCAGTGTCCTCTGCGGCTCCTCATTTAAGGACAACATAATTTAACGATACAGCTTACCATCATAAGTTCCAGTAGGTGGGAATACCCTGTATGCGACGCCCGTGCGGCAGGGTATGGAAATCTTGAGCTATTCTTGCCGAGGCTCGTGGAATGCTATAATTAGCTCAACCAATCTGATCGCCCTTATCTTGGGTTTTTCCGAGGTTCTTTTTTTGAATATGACAAATATGGGCACTCGTGATATCGTCTGAGATGTTTTATTTTAAAATGCAAACCCAGGATTTAGACACAATACAGTATATTCTCCCCTGAAAAATTGATTAACTGGTTTCTGTGAGCAGTTATCCGATTTATTTCGGAAAAAAACAAAAACCGTGGGTGCATGCAAATTTGTCCATGTGACCCCGTGTTGTCATTAGGTGCCATAGAATGTCACCTTCTTCAGGACTCCTCCTTGGCTCTTCCTCGGTTCAGACGGATGTTTGCTAGATCTTTAATCGTTCTTCGTGGTTAACCTTGTAGTGGCGCCTCGTGTTATCTCTTCGTCTGTCGACAAAGCTACATTGCATGCAGTGGGGGAACATGGCCGTCCCGTGACTCTTCTTACGCCTTAGCAACTTCCTTAAATTACCAAACTTCTTCGAACACCGGTAGCAACGTGTTCCTCAGGCACACTTAAAACATAACCCGTAATTATATTCTTTCCAACAATACCATTTCAGGTGGAATATTTTCACAGGGTATTTAGCACCATCCCTCAGTATCCTGACCTTGAGCATGGTTGTCATTACAATGGTACGGTAGGTCCTTTACGGGTTAATGCCAATGTTCCTACGTACCTATTAGCATTAACATGTGATGTTCCAAATAAAACAGACTGCTAACTTCCCCGCGTATTGATTCGGACAGTTATGTTTTACGTTTATGTACGGAATATTAACAATTGGGAACTATTTGACTGTTTACTGAATAATCATGCACTGAAGGCATTGCATTTTGGACAAAACCACAGCGAGCAGGTGGACTTATACCCCCGATGAAATAATACTACTGATGCTATAATTGCACACTGATTCCCGTCACTTAGGGCATTTAATTTACGATGAATATTATGAGTATTGTTATTGCGCTTCACTGAGATGATTCAAACTCGGTTGACAAAAAGATGAAATGAAGACTGTAAAATCCAAGAATCTCAATTTGAGAGATTATACTGCTATTTCCTTAAGTGCGTAAGAATCGGTTTACAGGTGCGTAGTGTATCCTGTAAACCATGGTTGTGACTGTCAAAAACCTTGTCTTTGGCCACTGAGGGCCACGATGTTATGCAGCTTAATTATTCCTGAGTTCAGCGCATGGCCTTTAGTAATGTCAAGTGCATAATTATGTTTACACTGCCAAACAGGAGACCTTGGATGAATTTGGTGTCATCTTTTGGTGCGATGCATCAGCACGTTTCCAACAGGACCCACTTGTCCTCTTCTCTTTGCTCAAGGAGCAACAAGGCTTCATTAGACGAATCATGGAGTTCAAATCCAACAAGATGCTGGTAAGAACCCATCCGAAGATGTTCAAAGCCCTAGGCATCGACAGGGAGCAGTTCCGTGCAGATGCTGGCTACGCCATGTGCTTCGAGGCCAACCGCCTGTTGTTTGTAAACAGCGCCCTCGTGCAGACGAACATCATCGGACCCTGGGTGGACTGTGCGTTGAACATGGCGTGCATTTCCCCAGAAGGCAGTGTGCTAGCGCAAAACCAGAAAGGTCCTCAGCGGTACACGCACCGCTTCGATCAGGCCGCGCTTGCTCTGGTCGCGTACAAGAGCACGAGAGGTGTCTGGGATGTAAACAACGACAGGTCAAAACTGTTCCACAAAGTGGTCGGGTTGTCGCGATCTACAGCCGGATCGGGAAAAAAAAATTATGTTAAAGCTAAATGGGATAGAAAAGCAAAATATATAACTTTTACGAGCTCTGGCTTATAGATTGTGTCCGGACCTACCTGTATCATACCGCCCTCATATCCGGGGAAATTTTCTCAAGAAGAAGGTATTTGCACAGAGAACGCAACGAGGATTAAAAGAATTTTATTTTCTGGTGGATAGCACTACGTTAAGTACAATAAGGTTGACATTGAAGCTTACATTGTGTTAAAATAATGTTCGGAAACTGCACTTTCATTATACATTTTCAGAAAGGTAACAGGCTCTGGACTAACAGCCCTTGAAATACGAACGATAAGTTGCTAAGTGTATATCCTTTATAGTACCGTTAATGTAGTACAAAAAATGAACCAAATACACGTAAAGCTGCTTTTATGATTGTATAATTAACCATGCAATACAGCCACACTCAAATACACGCAGCGAAGCACTATACTTTAAATAATATTATCTGGTTGATATCTCTGTGATAAAATTCCATGAAACAGATTTCCTCTTTATCTTGACGACGAATTTTACGAAAACTACATATGGAGAAGAACCCATGCTACTTTTTCACTCCACAGCTATGTGTTACCAACAAGGAGAGATGTTGGCCTGAATGATACGGAGCGACACTCTCCTAATTCAGAATTCCACAAGTAGGGACACAAAATTATTTTTATAGACCAATCCAGGCACGTGATCATTGTACACTCACAAGGCCCCCTTCAATGGAGAAACCATTGTGCACACTATTGTGCAAACCAACTGTCCCGTACAGATTATCTGATCAATAGCTAGCACAATGCTCTCGCCATTGAAGGGGGCCTTCGTGATAGAACTGTTAGCGTGCCCGGATTGGTTTGTCCGCAATGTTGTCGTTTTTTCTTGGCTCCTTTAGTATTTATGATCTCCTTTTAAAGTACTCTTCTAATTACAAATTATCTATTTCTTTTTGTTCATACAAGTTTGTACACATTGTGAACAATGGCAACATTGAAATACAATTTCCTAAATGAATGATGTGAATAACAGATATCAATCAAGCATGAATGTAAACAAACCACGGTAACGATGGGTCCAACTTTATTAAAGCGTGCACTCTGAGTATTGTTTAACTTCAAATTTCTGTTCGTTTTAATACAATCGTTTCTTATTATGTAGTAAGAGAAATGATAATTAATCATGCAGGAGTGTACGAATTAGATTGAATACTTAACTTGACACGCATTTAAGATGTCTGGACTCTAAAGCTCTAATAAGATTCAAGTTGCCAAGGGAAAATGAATGTTTCTGATCATTTTAAGCATCACGAAGTCGATTACACAATAATTTTAGAAAATCAATCCATTATTTTTTTTTGTTTTCAAACCTGCATTGATGTCTTAAGGTCTTAAAATTGCAGGGCATTGCAATTTGCAGATTGTAAGAAAAGCAAAATGCACACTCGTGTTGAATGTTATATAAGGATCTAGTGACCTTTTGTTTAAAAGCCTCTACTAAAAGCATGCAACCTTCGTTTGAACTGTGGATTATACACCAAACTACATACCACAATCTAACATGGTGTTGTACAATGACATGTATAATTCATCGAATACTATTACATGGTAGTTTTTTTCCATAAGTTACGATTGGTTAAAGGCAGATTTGTGTTATTTGTGACTTACTGAAGCAAAATGAGGAATGTCACCCAAAACCTTGTTTTGAGTTATCGACGGCTGAAGTCGAATATACTACAAAAATAGTGTCAACATCGATATTGATTGTTTTGTACTGTTGAGTAGCAAAGGTATCCAAGATTCACATATGCATTTTTGTTGGAAAAAAAAATACTCACAAAAGTGGAAAAACTGAAGAACCTTTTTGTCACTGCTGTTGGCAACGCAGTGCGCATCTTTTTTTCAAAGCGGTTTTGCTCAAAATGAGAATAGCGAAACTTGGCAGAACACTGTTGAAGTTACTGCGGCATACCTTTGGAATAAATTAAGCTACAGATATAAATGTTGTATCATTGGAAAGCCAATGATTTGCGCTTTAACATGATGTACATAACGTGAAAAGTCAAAGGTGCGGGTTATTCCTCATTATGCTATGGCATGTCACATTAATTTTGTGCTTAAATAGAGCAAAACAGGATGGTTGGCGTGTAAAATTATTTCAGGCAAGTGTATTTTTTTCAGTAATGTACAGCACTTCTCATTTGTTAATGTCAACAGACCGGTATTCTCTGTGTACGTGATAATATTTTAAGGTCCATTATCAATAAATGGCTGAAGGTATAGCTGAAATTAAATTTATGATGCGAGTAAAACTTATATCAACTCGATCAAGGCTCTGGGTAGGGTTTTGTGTTTCGCTGATATACGAAAGGAAATTAAACAATGATATAAATTTTGTACTCGTTTCGCCCAGCCTGCTCTGTCTCTACACGCCCCAATCGGCTATATCTCAATGAACAGGTTTCTTATGGGGTAAAAACAGTTCATTTTTGCTGCGATCTATACGCCTCATGGATCCTTAGTAAAAAAAAAAAGGATGAGTAAAAACAAACGAAACCCAAATGTCGCGACCATTGATTTAGTGAAGTTCTGCATGTAGCACTTTCAAAATCTAGGATGTGAAAGCACAATTCAAAAAATTCTTTTAGTACAAGAATCATTAAAATCACTTATGCAATTTTCAAGTAACGGAGTTTTAAACAAAACCTTCGTTTTAAAGTTCTGTCCACGTATCAAAAAAGGGTAAGTGTTCTTTCAGCAAAACGAAATCAAATAACATAGGGATGTGTGTGAATTGTTTTTGTTTTGCTGACAAACGCACACTTTTTTTGTGATCCGTGGACAGAACTTCAAAACGGTTGTTGTGTTTAAAGTTCAGTAACTTATAAAGTACTCAAGTGATTCAAATAATTTTTCTACTAAAAGAAAGCTTATGATTTGGGCTTTCATATCCTAGATTTTGAAAGAGCTACACGGTTAGCTTCACTAAAACAAAAGTCCCGACATTTGGTTGTTGTTTTTTTACTCACCCCGTAGAGCTACAAAAGGAAGGAGTATATGTATTAATTATAGCTGGATACATAGCTCATCGTTCATCACAGTTGGGGATGTATTGCAACGAAAAGACCTAAGAGAGTATTTACTCTTGTTGCAATTGTGGGCCGTGTTAATTACTGGAGGACCTATCCCGGCCACGACTTGATGTTGTGTAGCTGGTTACACGGCAAATCGTTTAGCTGACAGTGCAACGTTTTTTGGATGCCGGTGCCTCTCCAGTCCTGAAACGATTAAAAGATAGGTAAGCTCCTCAGTGAAAATCTCAACAACTATAGACTCTCCTGCATGCAAGGCCTATAAGAGCGCAACCACACAACGGCAGTGAGTGAAGGCCCTTACATTTCCATAAGCGCCCTGTACATCCGTTGATTTTAAAAAGGCACATCGGGATGGCATAGCCTTGGAAGGGAGGGCAAAGTAGACTGGTTAATACCGACATCTGAACTCGAGGGGGTGGAAACAGTCTGAAGTTTGGCGCTTTTTTTTACACCGTAAGAATCACTGCATACCAGAGGAGATGACGCAGCGTGTTCCGTTATCACCATTTACTGGATACTTGTTATGAGCCACAATACTTGTTATGTGCCACACACGGAGCTCTTTAATTAAAAAAAAAATTAAAAATGTGTATAATTTAACATATATAGGGAACAACTCGCCAGGCGACCTGCAAGTGCCCTTTCAAATGATGGCGTCGGAAATACAAATAAAAACAGCTACAGAAAAATAGCGCGAACAAAATATCGCGCAGCTACTTTGATATTCGACTCTTTATATATCACTCTGTAATAGACAGTATAAAATACCAGAAGAAAAATGTTAGCATACACACAAAGATAGGTTGTACTATTTTCATGTGCTGCATTAGTAACATGAATGTTTGAAATAAATGTATGATCAAAGTCAGTAAGTGACTCGGTTTAACCTTCTCGCAGCCTGGTTTTAATCGAACTGCCTATAACCTAGGGTATGCTTACCCCGACATTGGTAGTCCAATACTAGATTATTCTTTCATTTTGATTTTAAACGTGCATTGAAAGAACAAATACATGAACATGTTCATTCGACGTATTTACAAAGTATTGTGAGATTATCGACATTAATAATCCATCGTGAAATATATGATCCCTGAATGAACAATTTAGTCCTATGGCTGGTAGGTGTGTATTATATCGATGGAAAACTATTTCCCAAGACCTCAGACGAAATACTCATGAAGTCGCGATCACTGCCACACACATGTACCCATTAAAGCCCGGCCTATATCTTATACAAACCTACTGTGGACATTCCTTTGTTTTCGTGTAGTTTAGATACACAGGAGAAAAAAATGTTTTTTTGTTCTCGCACTGTGAATACTCTTTCAACTCATTTTTTCTCTCAAAATTTGCTTTGTGTTCCTTTTCATTTTACGACCAATAAACATAACCCCAAAATGCCTCTGAATCTGTTTTTTTCAGAGAAGGGAAACCTTGTGTGGACCTGGCTTAGTCCACAGAAGGTTAACACAACATGCATCGTGTGGACCTGTTTTGATTTCAGGTCCACACAAAGATGACAATGTCAGCACAAACAAAATCAATAGGGTAACATCGAGTGGAAGCCGCTGTTGTGGAATACTTGTATGCCTGATGTATTTTTTTCGGGACAGATAATAACAGTGTAAATTAAATTAAGAGCAAGCAGTCTCACCTTTTCAATTCGAAGAGAGTTTTGATGAGATTCTCAACTCCTGGGTTGAGGGTGACGTCAAGAACATTCAGTCCTTTTTTATTCTTGATGTAGATGTCGGCGCCATTTTTAATTAGGTACACCGCTATGGCAACCAGGTTGGTTCTTTGGTCGGACGAACTGCCTTCGTTTTCGAGCTGCTCGACAAGCTGCAACAACTGAACAATTGAACGAAAACATTCTGGTGATGAAACTTAAAAGTGACTGTGATGTTGCAATGACAAAGCACACCAAAAGTGTCATACATGTGATATTGGAAATTTACAATTAACCTGTCAAACTGTACAGATTGATGCCATGTCTCATGATGGTGTGTACAATGTAGAAACTTTACATCGAAACTTTGAAAGACTATTATACTGCTGCAATAATGCTTGCCATGTAGTTTGCAGAGTTTACGCAGCGTCGGGTCAACGGCGTGTTCGTTTATGGTTTTCTGCACAAAGTACATTGTTATACCTCTGTCTTGCATACTGTATTTTCATTGGTCTAGATCGATCACGTGGTAAGTTTATGAAAGTTCATGGCACACTCCCTGTGCGATATCACGTACGTGATATCCCACACCGGGAGTGTGCTATGACTTTGTACGTATAGGCCTTATTCAGTCGGCCATATTGAATTGAAGTGAGGTAAAATCTTAATTTTTGGAACTTGCAAAGAGAAGTGAAAGCAAGTTATTTCCTAATCAATTCCAGTCTGCTTCAATGATTACGTTTCAATTTGTAATTCTGTAATATTTGAAGCCAGATTGAAAAAAAACTCCAGTAAATTAAGGCTGCATTGCTGCAAAAATAGTCTGGTGCCATCCCATTAAACAGTTAACTTAATGAAAATGCGTTCACGGAACACGACAAAAATGGCCAACTCATGAATAAGGCCCATGCGGAACGTACGATTTGAAACGATTTGAAATACCAATGCTATGTTCACCATGTTTTCACATATGGGAGCAGCAACTAGCAGACGATCAGCACGCGACATGCATGTGAGTTGCCGTTAGATTGTCATGATAGTTATGTCTACTGCCGTTTGTTTTCGTGATTTTTACATCAAAATCCAAGGAGTCCGAGACAGAGGTATAACAAAACAATTGTTGACTACTGTGATGTGGGATATGGCGTTTCGAACACATTCGGAGCGCATATAGCGCCCCTCGAACATTCAAAACGACATATTCCACATCACATCTGTCAACAATTGTTAATTGTAAATTGTATATTACAAATCTAAACACCACCATTTCTTTCAAAGTAGAGTTAATATCACGTTGTTTACAGTGGGAGCATGCATCAGAGTATTTGTGAAACTAAAGAGTGCTAAATGCTTCAAATGTGCTTTGACGCTGGAATTATTGAGTGAAATAATTGCCGTCGATGCTTTAAGCGTTGAGAGAAGCAATATTCACTCATGCTACGAAAAACTCGACATTTACCTGTCCCACCGGTGTTCCCCGCATGATCTCTTTCACAGAGGCTTCCATCATGATCATATGGAGGCTGGTGTTACCGTCGTTATCCTGGGCATTCACATTGGCACCGTTGTTGACCAGAGCCTCGATACACTTGTTGTGGGTCTTGTCGATGGCCAGGTGCAGCGCTGTTTTCCCAACGATGTTTTTCAGCTCCTTGTCGCAGTCCACCTTGGTGACAAAAGTTCGTGCTTATTGGAGTCATTAGCCATGATTGATTTTTGTCTGCCAACGTCACGAGTGAAGCCGTAAGCACAGTTGGACATAATTCTAAAGATCTTATCACTGCCAAAAACTCCCCAATTTCTGATGCTTTGAGAAACACGCGAACATTTAAAATCTGTGTTGGGGAATTTGGACAGGCTTGAAATGTGCAACAGTTTGACGTCATTATTTTGAGCGTTGTTAATGTATTGTTTTGTCTTGTTTTGTTTTCCATTTTATTCAAAGCATGCTATTAACAACCTCACCTGTTTGACGAGGATCAGGATGATTTCGGTCAGTCCGTTTAAGGCGGCGATGTGTAGTGCTGTGAAGCCGTCAGTTTTGGCAACATTGATCATGCTTGGCGACTTTCGTAGAATCGCTTCCAAAGCACTAGAGTAATGAAATTTGTTTGTTTCATAACGGAACTTTAGTACCCATGCAGGCACGTGCTTATTAGTCTGGCTCCCAACCCCATTGTCTTTCGGACTTTAAATGTGGGTACAGGTAGCTAGCAGTGAATCCTGAATACATTATATGGCATCCCCGGCTGATGTTTGCCAATGATATGCATGACGTGCATAGGTCTAAATCCCGCCTCCTGAATTAAAAATCACAACGGTAATGTTTGCCCGCAACCAGCCTATTTATGCCGCGCCACAAATGTGCAATTCCGGAGGTGATAATTTTCGATTTTGCTGAATTCGAAAGTGTCTCTGGCAAATATCAATAAAAAGAGAGAAATTACTGTTCAGTATTTAAAACTTATGCAGTTAAAATACTTGAAAGTTGCCTTCATGGAGACACTGATGAGTTTGCGTACCTGTTGTGGTAAGACAAGAGAGATTTTTTGGATAATGGCGTGTTCAATCGCCGTCCATGCACAAACAGCGATATGAAAATATACAATCATGATGCGCACGCGTGCAGAGGTGGTCCAATCAATGCCTTAAAATGGGAGATAGCTATACCGGCTTATAAGTTGGTATGACGTAATACACTCAATGCAGTATTTAAGAGCAAATTATTAAATAAATGCATAGACTGTTATACACAGGAAGGTAAACGACCATTCCTAAGGTCAACCTTGTACGTCAAGCATAATTAAAGCATAATTATTTACGTAAAAGTCGCGTTCCCTGTGCTATTCAACACATTTGACATTTATTACTAAATTGTTAAATTGTATGTTTTATTCCAATCCCAAAATCTGTCTTTTGGACCTCTGCAACCCTCTCAAAAACAAATTTTGTTTTGGACACAAACATATGTAGCTCCCGGTCCTTATACATTACTTATCGACACTGAGTGTAGAGCAGGAACCAGCTTACCTCTGCATGAAGAGAATTATTGTGTGGTAGCCAATAATTCGAAATTGTAAAGTAATAATTCAATAACTAAACACAGGACGATTTTCTTTCGGTTGTTCTCATTCAAAAATGAATAACTTTATGGAAATTAAAAAAGAAATAGAAAACGATTTTTTCCCCCGAAATGTAACTAGATCATAGCACGAGGAGTGTAAATTGACTTTGTGAGGTCAAGTGAAAACTATTCGCGCTGCGTGTTTGATTTGAAACTTTACCAATAAAAATGTATAAGTGCAGTTTCAAATAAAAGCCATTACTTAAGGGAGAAAAGAAAAAAGAATACACGTACAAATTGTTTTCGGAAAGCACGGCATGATGCAAACTGTTGAATCCTCTCTTGTTCACCTGACGGAGGTCAACGCGTTGGCTGTTTATCAGCCAAAGGATGATCTGCTTGTTCTTCTTGCCAATGGCAAGAAACAGTGGCGTGTTGCCATTACTATCCTATCAAAAGAAAAAAAATAACCAAGTTTTTTTCTGTGCTCTTTGTCTAAAATTTGTACATAATTATTAGATGGAATTTTGCGTCGGGGTGATGTACTTTTATACATTGACTTTTTGTTGATTTAGCTCTTAGTGTCTGGCTCAATTAGTTCTTTTTCTGATTAATTATATCCCAGAAATACTGGGTTTTGCAATATATGAAGCAAATGCACAATTTATATATTTATGCTTTGTATTTTATTGATGGCTCTTCATGCACACAGCTATTTTCTTACGGATGTTACTTTTAGTGATAGTACTATATAGCATGGCCACATAAATATGTAACAAATTCGTTCGGTATTCCAGCTGCGCACGTGCACATTAAAAAAAATAATGAGTCTCCATTCTGGAAATCAATATAAAATTTAAGAAATTGTCTTGTTCTGGAGTGGCACAAATTTCATAACTGTTTGACAACGAAGTGCTTTATATGTTTATATCCCCCAAACTTTGTGCGAACAAATGTTTTCATTGTCTTTTTGATTGCATGCAATGAATCTTGTTTCCACATTCGCAATATGAATACCGATTTGGTTAATTATTGTCCATTTTTCTTATACCATTTTGACCACTGTTTGACAGACAAAGCTTCACTTTGCATTTTTCATAACAAGTTAAATTGTTAATAATGATGTGAATATAATTATGCAACTTATAAACAGCAACTTACCTGGTAGTTGACGTCGCAGTCCTGCTTACCGAGCAGCGCCTCTACGCATGCCTCGTGACCTTCGTTAGAAGCAAAGTGGAGTGGGGTCAAACCTTTGTTGTTGGCTGCGTTTATCTTGCTGCCAGCAATAAGAAGATTTAGGACAATGTCCGGTTTGTTGCTAAATATGAGAATAAGAAAATGCCAACTACCTGTCATCACGTAGAAATAAAATCAGAGAGATTCAACAGTACTTTTACTAAAACAGCTCCTTAAGGAGCGAAGGATTAGTACGCAGGTATAAAGTCCGGTTCATACCGAATGCCAATGCGAATGCAAAGTGATTTGACGTCATGAAACGTTCGCTGCGAAATTCGCCCGAGTTGAAATTATGTTCAACTTTTACGAATTTGCGGCATGAATACTTGCTAAGACGTCACAAATTCGCTTTCGCGCAGAGCATGAACCGGGCTTTATAAAGCGAACATGCGCATATCTGTAAGGAGATCGATATACAACATTTTGCTTTTGCTCCAATTTTCTTATATGGATGGAATTAGGGGTTAGTATTTTATAGTATACAAATATTGAGTGGCTCAGCGTGGAATGGGAGGAATATTATCGCAAGGTAAAATCTAGACTTTTCCATTTCACGAGGCGAAGCCGAGTGAAATGGAAAAGTCCAGATTTTACCGAGCGATAATATTCCTCCCATTTCACAATTTAGAGCCACCCAATATTTGTTTTAAATAACTGACATATAGATCCTTGTCATTTGATATATTTGAACTTTTATTTCAATACAAAACTGGAGGAAAATGTATTTCTCTCTTTGAAACCACCCCTTCACGAAAATGTTTGAATCCAACGCTGTAGCGCTTGCTGTTTGGAACAATACGCGCTATGCGCAACGCTGAACGCGCACACCAGCATGCATTTGCACACAAATACCGCGTCATGATCCTAACTGTTGAATAGTATTTCCCATTCCCCATGGGCGGATAGTACTTTTTGAGCCGCGGCATGAATGGGAGCAATAACGAATGCCACGTGATGTGAGTTCCACCAATCAAATGACAAGGATCTGTATGTCAGTTATATAACAAATATTGGTACACTGACCTGTCTACAGTTTTGCTTCCATAGAGGATAAGAACCCCCAACCCCCCCCCCCCCCCCAAAAAAAAAACCCCAAACAACCAAAAAGGCAGCAAATAGCTTTGTTTTGTTGAAAGATATGATGAGACCTATTGTAACCCGTCTCCTACAAATGTGACCCCAGATATGAAGCTGCCATTTCATTAAATCTCGTGTCCAAATCGCGAATGGTTAACTAGTAACATGTGACGTAAGATATCATCTCTTATAACTGGTCATATTGTTATATGTGCTTTGTTACTTAGTTGAGCAACATTTTCGTCAACAAAAGTAACCTGGAATCCTTAACATAGCGCAAGGGGAGGGAACGATGCTCACCCAAGCACAGCATAATTTAACGCAGTGTCTCCGTCCTCATCGCGGTGTTCTAGCGGCGCTTTATACCGTACCAGGACATTCACCACATCCACGTGACCACGATGAGCAGCAGCCTGCAGCGCCGTCTGTCCTTTGCCATTCTGAAATTGGACCTGAGGGAAGAAAATCAAACATGGACCTTAGGATCTCTCCAACTTGCCTTATGTAAAGAGCGTTGTCAACTTCCATGATATGGCTACGGCACTGTATACAACATGGTTTGAGAGTAAATGGGCGGGGGACACAAATTTCCGTGCCTCCCAGGTGCCCCCACCATAATACTGATAATGCCCCTTTTCCTTTTCCCCACCCAAAAAGTGTTTGTAAGTTATATTTTCTTTCAAGTTAGCCAAAGGCTTACTGTTTACAAATTATTATGTTAATGGACACAGCGAGGCATTATGGGGCCCAACTGGTAAAAACTGCATTAGGAACTTTGTGATATGTGATATTCTGATGCCCCTGTACCCCCCCCTTGTACCCCCCCCCCCCCCCCAAGAAAACCTGTAGCGTCTTCGCGTGAGCGTCAGGCGGACATCAGCATTGCGTTTTCAGAATGTCCCTCCGAGTTCTTTTGCAACTCTTCCTTTGTAACCATAGCGTTAATGATAAATAAGGGAAACCCTGGACAAACGGGTCCTTGCTCAACTGTCTTGGCCGATGAAGAAGGAGATTCTGCCCCTGGTTTTTCTTTCTTCCGGACAGTATCTCCAATAGGAAATAGTGCCTCTCTTTAGGATATTTTATCACCTAACTCAACGGAGAATTTGTCCCATGGATATTCAGCCCCCGTCAGGAAACTCACAATTCAAGTCTAGACACCAAGACTTTTGCTTCGTTTTTCATGTGGATGCTTCTTTTTTTAGTTTTTATCTGTGCCTGAGTTAAAGTACTTTCCTTCCCTTAAATATTACGAATATCGATGTACTGCCTAACATAGTCGGCGTCCGACACAATGGAGAAAAATTTGGCCATACCGGCAGTAAACCAAACTCGAAATGATCTCGGAAGCTATGGCCTAACTGTAGACCTGTGTCGCCTATAAGTCATGTGAATCTGTGAAAGTCTGCTTTTATAATGCACTATACTCACGTGATTGTGACTATCAATTGAAATGAAGGATTCGTCTTTGTTGTTGAATGTCACTCGAGGTGCATGCAGTGTTTTCTGTATGCTATAGCACAGGTGGAACACTGAATGTGTGTACAGTACGTGGCAGTCCAAATGCAAAGTGTTTTAGAACAAACACCTTGTTTTTGACTGTTGTGACCCACTTTCCAGAACTACAATGAGTTATTTGCTGGTCAGAGAAGACCTATGTAACTTTCACCATTCAGGGCCATTAACCCGAAGTAGTGTTGTTGCGAGTGCATAAGGGACAATTTAGGTGATTGAAGGCCAAAACGGCATGTGCTGAAGTTCGTTATAAACCAACTAACTAACCAACACAGAGACATGACTACGTGTAGAACTAGAGCTGCTCAGCCGCAGCTAAAAAGTGTCTATCATGAAAAATGGATTCCGTTGCTTCCATAGGTAGATATATATATTTGTAAATGCCAGTCGTTGCCAAATATTTCTGATGCTGCTATATGGCATTATTGCATCTGGTGAAGCAACGGTCATCTTACATTATTTATAAAAGGCGCAAGATTGTCATGATGCCAAGAAGATTAGGCCTAACGTATTTTCTTGTCGAAATTTTCTCACCGCGTCTGGGTGATCATTGATGATCCTTCGCACTTTGTTGGTGTCGCCAGTGGCTGCAGCCTGGAAGAGAACAGCACCGCTTGATCTACCCGCCGATCCGCCAAGCAGGGATCCGAGTTTCTGCAGCTCCGACTTCAGGAGAAGAGCGGCCAATAATCCACCAACATTGAGTTCTGAACCTGGACAATATGTGAAATCGCAATCAAAGGTTGCTGCCACACAAACCTTTTTATCGAGCTTATCTGCCGAATTTGTACTTTTCTTGGTAAACTTTAAAACAAATGTCCCCAATGGGCCCTGTCTGAAATCATGACTCTCGCATCAGGCACTGGCTTCACAAACGCAGCCAATAGACAATCATGTTGCGGCCATCTTGATGTTTTCCCAATGAAATCAACGTAACCAAAGCAAGGCTGGTAGGAAAAAAAGTCTGGGTCCTTTTTGTACAAACAAATTATCATTCAGTACTCTTATTGGATACAGGCAACATGACTCAAATGGTGGCAGTATGAGAAAGGTCTATTGGTTTAGAAACTGCAGCTCGTGTGGGATCCTAAAACCCGATGCACAGCTGTGTGGATGCCATCACCTTACATTTTTTAATCGGTACATTAGTGAAGTAATCTACTCATCCATAAATGTCGATATTTGCTAGATTATCATGTACCTCCAGCACTACCTCCTGCCTCTTCAGCTTCCTTCTTCTCCTTGACGAGACACAGGGGATGAATGAAGTACGACGCTCCCCCAAAGTTGACCTTGACATCGCCATCTTTGTCGACCACAATGACTTCACCGACTTTGCCTCTGTACTACGGGACCCAAATTGAAATTGCTTAGATTGGTAATTATGTTAACAAGGATTGCATCGTGTGTTTTTCTCACCATAAATATGTTTGCCGAGTTGCCGGAATTAGCCATCGCTGTTGCTATTTTATGGAAGTCGACCATTGCGTGCATCAGTTTTTGTCAACCGAATGATTCTCAGACTTTACTTTCATTAAAAAAATCCTCCAGAACCATGAATCCGGAGATTTTTTTTTAATCTACCTCACTAAAAAGTAGGATTTGATTTCAAAATGTAAAAGTAAGGAAATACACACTTAAAACTAAAAATAATTATGCTCTGACCAAGATTCGAGCCCCGCACCACTCAGGGAAAACTTTGTTTCCATAATTGTCTTTGTAAAACGGTACCCTGCGAGAGAAATCCTAAAACAGAGGCATATACAGGGCGAGTCATAATGATCTGGACCCAATTAAAGTCACCATTTGTTGTGGCAAATAGAGTATACTAAGAAAAAAACTGAGTGTTCATATGAATGGTTATTACCTTGTCTTCCACATGAATTTCAAATTAGTGGCTGTGGTGAGGCCATTTTCATTGTAGTAGCTTAAATTTTCCAGTCTGAACACCGAGTTGGTTTTGCCTAGGTTTTTCTTTGTTATTACACTGCTTCACATCAGTACGCAATTTCAATAAATCTGTTGAACCATGGAACCATGGTCAGAGTGTTTTTAGCGTGTGTTCTTTGCCAACGCTTTTCTTCAAAATGGTATAATGGATATACTGAAACTTTCACCAAATATGTCCAAAATACCAGCCTATAACACATCTCATTTACACTTGTTTTGATAATTGCTACATATTTTTAATTTGGGTCCAGATCGTTCTGAATTCGAGGGGCCCTGAAGCGCGCCACCTTTCAGGCTCTAGACACATTTTAAATGAAGGCACATAACAAAAGAACAAAACATTCGGGCTAGTGAAAATGCCCACAGGCTAGTAAAGAGTCTGTTTCAGTAGCCCAGCTGGCTGGTGAAAAAAAAACAAGATCGAACCCTGGTCTAAGACCCCATATACCCATCCGTATGTGCATGACCACTTTCATTACTCAACTACCCAATGACTAAACCCTCATAGTTTGTGCTCGACACTTCACCATATTGCACAGACCGTTAAAATACCTCTTTCATCGAAAGTGCTGAGACATGGCTTTGACCAGTTATTGTCGGCTCTATACGCTGCAGTCGAACTTACGTTTTTTATTTCTTCGTTCCAGCCACAACTTTCTAGGTGCAGTTCCTTGAGCTTCGCAGGGTCCATGTCCAGCAGACGGACCTTGTCTCCGGTGTCCAAGTAAGTCCGGACATTGGTGGCATCTGTATTGGCGCAAAAACTCAAGAAAGAAAATAAGGCGTTCTCCATCCGAAGATCCCACTATGATACCCAAGTTGACTCAGCTCGACAGTCGGCCTTCAACGTGTAAGCAATCAACTTTTCTTTTCAAACAATTTAAAAGCCTACACACTTCTGTGTATAAAATCGTATTTGAAATCATAGGCCGCTTGAGAAATTCGATGTTGGAGTTTCAGAATTTTCATCTACAGTTATAATAATTATTGTGCAGAATCTGAACAGAACCTTTGTTTTGGGCGTATTGGTGAAACGGATATTCAGCAGCGTAACTGGCGTCCAGCATGGGACAGGGAACTTTTTTAAGGTGCATTCAATTTATGTTCTGTCTTTCGGAGGAGTTGGGCGCACAAGCAACCTCATTCATAGGGATTACTTTCAACCTCGATAAAAAAAAATGTGACCCCTTAGAGGGAAACGAACTTTAGGCTTTGTGTATATACTGATTTGATATATGTTTTTGTATTCCGTGTATGGGCTCCGTACGCCAACAAAAGAGGGCGCCCTTTTACCTAGGAGCGACGTCTCATGGGCGGGACATTTAGCTGGTTGACGTGCACCGTTCCTTGTGTGTGACGCACACACATGGGGATTTGTACTATGTACACGCAGTGGTACATGGTACGGCAGCGCGTCGCAGCAAAATTGCAGTCAGGCAAGATGGCGTCGATCGGTCACCCCAACTGTGCCGGTGAGGGGGTACTTGTGAACGGAGCGGATACTTGATGAATCTATTTGCAACGTCTGTCACGTGTTTGAACCTTCATTGTGAACAGTTCAATCCTAAAAAATCCCATTTCAATTTTGCTCATAAAGACATTTTGGGTGATACTTCATGTTGGATGGGTACAAAAACTTTGCCAAAAGGAAAATGTGTTCTCGAAAGCGGAATAATCCCGAACACCTTCATAACTGCCAACGGGAAAAATGTGGCGTTTTGACACCATAATGCATTTATTTCTTGAGTCTTTAAAATAAAATGAGTTTGCGACGTATCTGTGAATGGCTTGAAGTTATGCAGTGTCGACAAAAGCTGTCATATACCTTATGTATTTCTATGTATACAATATCTCAAGCGGGTCGTGCCCTTTCGTGCCCCCACCACCGCCACTAGTTACGTCACTGCAGGTATTTTGGCAACGGTGCTTCACTGTACATTATTCAGGGAAATTACATACCACGTCTCTATATTCATCAAATACATTGCAAGTCATTTCCCTAGTCACTACTTCGCAGCCAGTTGGGTACAACTTCATTATTTCTTACCGAGCCTGGGAAGATGATCGATGTAGAATTCCCCAGCGGTGTCTTCTTGCGTGTATTGTACGTCCAGCTTGCCTTCGTGACCCCGCCGGTAATTGTTGTCCGAGCGGTTGAGCCACTGAACTTTGACCCAGGACCGATGGGTTCCCTCTGCGCTAATGACTTCCTTCACGGTACCAATTTTCCCTTCTCCTCCTAGCATTATTATCAAAAGAGACAAAACGTTTATTAAAAAATACTGAAAAGACAGTTGCATATTTTCAAATTAAGAGGACTCGCAAGGTTTTCTGCTTTTATGTTGCAATGGTAGACCTAAGCTGATCGCTGATGGATAATTTCGTATTACGCAACAAAATTTGCAACAGGTTCTATTATGATATTAAAGGTTGATTGAGTCTGCAGCCTTCGACGTAAAGATACGGCAGAATATTTGCAAGTTCCTTTTATTTTCCTCACCATCCTGATCTCCCCATTGCCAATCGGGCCCGCGCACCACTCGGGCACCGGGGAAAATGCCCAAAGAGCGACATTTGGTGGCGCCCAATCGACATGGAACCTCAACTCTGAAACGACAAAACAAATCTCCGATTTTACAGTGTCACATAATGCCACAGGCTTTAAATCTGAACCAATTATTTGCAAATTGGAAAGGTATTTGCATACTAATGAACGATGAAAAAAAGACCATGCACCCTTACTTAGTTAATTTTTTCAACGGTGGTATAAGTTACCAAAAAGATTCGTGGGTTTTTCCGCTCAATTACAAAAAAAAATCACCTAAACGAGCTTAAGAGTCATTCATTTCCTTAGCGAGAATTTGAATGCAGTTTAAGATCATCGTTCAATTAACTAAAAAGAACATGTGTTCTGGACCGTCTATCCAGTTTTCCTAAATAGCGCCCTCTTTTGAACATTTTTATAGCCCGTTTCTCACATGCACATTCGTCGTCACGTTTACAGACGTTTCCGGCATTTTGTGACTTACTTATTGTCTTTGGATTGACATAAATCCCTGTAATGGCCTGTGCAAGCCTTGTCTGTAATTTCCTTCCTCATTATGTAGCTAAATTAAGCGATATTTTACGGTTATTAATATTTGTATGTAAGCACAAGCCATATCATAACTGGTTAAAAGCGTACACACACGTTTCACATGCACACATCTCATAGAAAATCCGCATCTTTACGTCACGCTTTATGTAGCTGTTGTTCCTGGTGTTATCTTTACACCAAGAATAACACCAAGCGAAGAGCTCAACCTATTTGTTAAATGATTTGGGAAAGAGTCATCAGACCACGACAAAAGAATCCGTGCTGTGCACATAAATGACCCAAAACACAGCTCTGACAAAGTCATGGGAACGGCTGAAAGAGCAATATGCAGCGCCAAAGGTCATCAAAAGCGCCCTCTTTTGCAACTGGAAAGTTTTCCGCGCATCAACAGCAGAAGTCCTAAAAATGTGTGGCAGCTAGGTGATCTGCTCATGGAGGTCCTATGCGCAAAGGAGAACGGATACTTACCTGGTCTCACCAACCTGGATAAACGACACATGGGTTATTCAAATTCATTCTGCTCAAACGCCAAAACCAGAAATGGCCCGAGTTTCACCAGCCTCTTCAGCAACACCAGCGGCCCCATGAGAGCAGAGAAACCCACCACTAGAAACACTAGTGTGAGAACACCCATATCCGTCCAAGCAGACAGATGTCTCCACAGAGTAAGAAGAGTGATCCTAGTAAAAGCTGCCCTATCCATCGGCTCAAGAAACCACATCCCCTCAAGAAATGCAAGGCTTTCTGAGCAAATACCGTAGACGAGCAAAGGGCTTTCCTCGGGAGAAAATGGAATTTGCTTCAAGTGCGGCGCATCTTCCTCTCATCTTGCTAAGGACTGCAAGATTCCACTGAAATGCACCGAATGCAACAGTGCTCATCACAGCACAGCCATGCATCCTGATCCTGCCCCCTTGACACTGAAGGCCTCTACCCCTACACCACAGCATGGCGGGGAGGAGGAAGTTGTCCAATGCAGCCTACTGCAGTCAACTCACATGGCACAGATGTATGTGGTGAGGGCCTACCGACATAATCATGTGCCAAAACATGCCTGGTTTAAACTGTATCCACAGAAACAACCTGAGAGTGATGCCAAGATGTACGCAGCCATTGAAACCATTGACGACCGGAGTACGTGGTCATTGGCGAGATTTGACTTGTTTGAACTGTTTCCCTTAGGACCTGTGCTGGAGTCACAGAAATGACAGGGAGCAAAGCTGATGGTTCCCAGATTGAAGCTGTGAACGGAGGAGAAAGCCTGCATCTCCCTCCTTTCATCGAGTTCAACAAGATCCCAAACAACAGAGCAGAAATATCAACGCTCAATGTAGTTCTTCACCCCGCCCATCTGAAGCCTGTAGCACCAGACATCCCAGAGTTGGATCCGATCAGTGCTGAAATCCTTCTGCTGCTTGGGATTGACATCCTCAGAGTGCATAAGGTGAGAAAGCAGATCAACGGCCCACACAGTGCCCCTTTGCTCAGTGACTCAATTTAGGCTGGGTTCTGGTGCATTTCTGAAAAATGCACTCAAGACAACTGTAAACAGCTCCAGAACGCACGTGCTTGAAAGAGGATGCTCCTCTTTCCTCGCTCCATGCCATAATCACATCTGCCTGAAAGAAAAGATGACCTACATCGGGGAGCAGCAAAATTTGTTCATCCCGCACGCTCATCAGTAACCCTGTCAGAGAGCCTGCCAATGACAAATTTGGAAGAGAAGCGTTCAGAAGAACTCGCGATAACAACATGCCAGCTCTCTCCATCAAAGACACAATCTTTCTGAAGACGATGGTTGGAGAGTTCTACAAAAATGACACCAATAGCTGGGTAGCTCCACTGCCACTCAGTATGCTCAGACATCATCTGCCAAATAATCGAGAACATGCACTCACCCATCTTGCATCTCTACGACACAGCTTATATAAGAAGCCAGAGATGAAAGAGCAGTTTATCGTCTTCAACAACAATCGCACAGAGATACCGCCTTCTTTGAAAGATGGAGAATAGTGTTGGTACTTACCGACCTTTGGAGTCTACCAATTTAAAAAAACCGGGCCAAACCAGGATGGTCTTCGACTCTAGTGTACGACAAAATGGATTCTCTCTCAACGATGTTCTACTAACCGGCCCAGATCTAAGCAATAGCCTGCTGGGAGTCCTAATACAGTTCAGCAAAAGACCCGTAGCGATCACAGCTGACATGAGTAAATGTTCCACTGCTTTGTTGTGAGAGAGGACCGGCCATCGCAACAACCTAAGATTCCTCTGGTACAGAGACAAAAAAGTCTGTCCCGAGCCAATGTGGCTCATCAGGCCGGCGTTTATCTCCGGTTTCAGTAGCATGAAACGACTGAGAATATTTCTACTCCCCCTGGATGGGATGCTAGTCCATCGCAGGTTACTCCCCAGCTAATGCCGGTACGCATTTATACTCCTGAGTGGAGAGGGGCAAGTGGGGGTGAAGTGCCTTGCCCAAGGAAACAATATATGACCAGCGGCTGGATTTGAACCCCGGACCCTCTGATCATGAGTCACGAACCCTAACCACTAGGCCACACACTGCCATGGTACAGAGACAACGACACCACAATGGATGTCATCGATTACTGGATGAAAGTTTACGTCTTCGGAACAGCCCATCGATCCCCACGGTTGCCATATTCGATCTGAGACGAGCCGCACAAGAAGGCAAACAAGACCATGGTGCAGATACAGAGAGTTCGTGGAGAGACATTTCAAGTTTCTACCAACAGATGAACAGGCCATCGACTTGCTGAAGGAACCCAAACATCCAACCTATGGCTGCACAAGATTGTTTCGAACAGCACCACTGTGATGCAGACAGTTGCCCCCTCAAGATTATGGCATAATTGTGCTTCGGAGATGAGACTGGTCCTGGCCAACGCAGTCAAGGACTTTCCGGGATACCAAAGTAGACACCTTCACCTTCAAGGTAAGGAGTGGTGACAAACCACTCACACACCGTGGAGTCCAGTCTCTTTGACCCACTTGGCCTGGTACCTTCAATCGATACAAGGCAGAGCTATACTGCGGGAACTCACCATCGACACTTACAGTCGGGATGCATCCCTCCCAGAAAAAAAAACTTCAAGAATGGGAAGCATGAAAAGATTTGCTTCTGAGTGCAGCTTCAGGTCCCACGCACCTATTTTCGAAGTCTTTTTGCAAGGCACAGCACACCGATCTGTGCGTGTTTTTAAGATGCATCCACCAACACCGTCGCTGCAGTATCCTTTTACAGAACCGTTGACGAAACTGGATAAGTTGAAGTAGGCTTCGTTCTGAAGAAAGCTAAGTTGACTCCTCACTCGCTACCTACCATACCCCGTCTAGAGCTGTGTACCGCAGTCGTGGCAGTAAAGATAGCAGAACTCATCCTAGATAAAATTGACATCAAGTCAGAAGCCTTGAACTGCTTCTGTGACAGTTTAGTCGTGCTCGGTTACATATACAATGTAACCAATCAACGTTCCTGTCAAGCGCAACCCAGCTGACCACGCTTCCAGATCACCAGTACACCGTGGTTCACAGGACCAGCCTTTCTACACAAACCTGGCAATGCTGTGGTGGATCTGTGGCCGTAGAAACGTCTCTTGAGTGTAGTATATTAAATAGATTAGATTAGTGGTGGTGAAGGTGACATGACCCCTTGTCCTATGGGTGGTACCACCGGTATGGCTGGTGAAGGAGTCCGATTCTCTGATGTGTTGTCTACAGACGATGCATTTGGAGGGGTTGGGACACCTGAAAGTTCCCTGTGGCAAAGGGGGGGGGGTTAACATTATCATTAAAGGGGGACTTCTGCCAGGACAATGAGATTCCTGAGACTGGGTGGAAGTCTGTAGGCAACTATGGGTTCTTCTTGTACAGCACGTTGAAGTCGATCTGATGTGTGAAGAATATGATGGTTAGAACTGGTTATTGTACGAATGGGGGGAAGTGAGGGGTGGAAAGTGACAACAAAGGGAACTTTCTCCTTGGAACTCTGTTGTTGCACAGGTATTTTAGAAAGTACTGACTCCCTGGAGCGAGCCTTGACTTTCTGGATTGCTCGATGGACTGCCAGGGAGCTATGGCCCCGGGAGACGAGGTGTTTCTTAAGTTCCTGTGAGTGGTGGATAAAATCGGCATCATTAGAACAAATTCGACGGAGTCTGAGGGCCTGACTGTAGGCTGTGCTGGTTTTGTAGTGTCGGGGATGACAGCTGGTTGAGTGGAGATATTGGTGTTCCAGATTCCATCATATATTCATGACACTCCTGATTTCCTCCGTAAAATCTCAGGTATTCAGAACCAGGTCCCCAACACAGCTATCATCGGTACTTTTGATGTGTCCTCTTTGTACACCAACATTCCCCAAGATGAAGGGATTGCTGCCTGCTCTTCAGCTTTGGCTAAGAGCAGTCACACCTCACCGCCAGTTTCTGATATAGTATCCCTCATGAACCATGTTCTAACTAAAAAGAATTGTTCGTTCATGGGTAAGAATTTCCTACAGGTACATGGCACCGCTATGGGTACACGGATGGCACCATCAATGGCCTGCCTATTTATGAGCCAACTTGAACAGCGCATGTTGGTGTCAGCCCCGTGCCGTTCCTGGGTCTGGTGGCGCTATATTGATGACATCTTTTTCATCTGGACCAGTAATGAATCTAGCCTCACAGCATTCATTAATCACATCAATTCCTTCCATAGGACCATCAGATTCACAACCGAATACTCAACCAAGGATACCCACTTTCTGGATGTCAAGGTTGAAGACGGATGATGGTTTGATCACAGATCTCTTTGTTAAACCCACAGATAAACACCAATATCTCCACTCAACCAGCTGTCATCCCCGACACTGCAAAACCAGCATAGCCTACAGTCAGGCCCTCAGACTCAGTCGAATCTGTTCTAATGATTCCGATTTTATCCACCACTCACAGGAACTTAAGAAACACCTCGTCCCCCGGGGTCATAGCTCCCTGGCAGTCCATCGAGCAATCCAGAAAGTCAAGGCTCGCTCCAGGGAGTCAGTACTTTCTAAAAGACCTGTGCAACAACAGAGTTCCACGGAGAAAGTTCCCTTTGTTGTCACTTTCCACCCCTCACTTCCCCCCATTCGTACAATAACCAGTTCTGACCATCATATTCTTCACACATCAGATCGACTTCAACGTGCTGTACAAGAAGAACCCATAGTTGCCTACAGACAGCCACCCAGTCTCAGGGATCTCATTGTCCGGGCAGAAGTCCCCCTCCCCCTTTAATGATAATGTTAACCCCCCTTTGCCACAGGGAACTTTCAGGTGTCCCAACACCTCCAAATGTATCGTCTGTAGACAACACATCAGAGAATCGGACTCCTTCACCAGCCATACCGGTGGAACCACCCATAGGACAAGGGGTCATGTCACCTGCACCACCACTAATCTAATTTATTTAATATCTTGCAAAGTTTGTGGCGTTCAATATATAGGTGAAACGAGAACTACACTCAAGAGACGTTTCTAAGGCCACAGATCCACAGTCAACACCCATAAGCTAGATACACCCGTAGGACATCATTTCAATCTTCCTAATCACTCAATTTCTGACATGATTTTACAGGGCAATGAGGCACTAGGAATCTACAGAGAGATTGTTCGTCTGAGGAGAGAGAAATTATGGATAAGACGTCTCCAGACCATTCAACCCATGGTCTGAACATCCAAGAAGGAAATGACTAATAACGTTTGGTCTTTGCCTTCTCCTTTTCACCACATATAAGCCCCCCCCCCTCCAGTCTGCCTCATTCACCAATTAACTACCTTTCTCTCCCTCTCCCCATCATTGACTTTGTCCTTTGTGTTCCCAACCTCTTGTGGTCAACCAACCCCTTCCCCCAATCCCCCTCCCTTTTGTTACCCTCCTTTCTGTTCAGCCGCCTGCTTTCTCTGTGTATTTTCCTCTGCATCATCTATTTCCACTTGACTGCTTTTGTTACATCAGTAATGTATACATGTACCTGTTTATGTTTATAGTCTTTTCATTTAGCCATCGAGAAAGACTCTGCTAGGGTCGAAACGCCAGGCCACTAACCATTTTTTTTTGCATTATTACAATTTACTAAGTTTTGTGCGATAATTTATCTCAAGGGCCCATGCGCATTATTATAATAAAATCAAGGCAGTCACTCTAGTTAATCTGGAGGCAGTTGCATTCGATTTTTTGGTTTTGGTAATAAAAAGAGGTGTTGTTGAAATACTGCTGTTTTAATTTTGGCTGAACCTACATGACAACATAATGCTGGACAGAATGCTGGGGTGATATTATCTTGTTGTTATTGTTTTCCTTTATCACTACAGACATTTCGTTCCGAAGTCCGACTCGGATCGGACCAGCTGGTTTAATGTTTGAATACACAATTTATGAGTCCAAGGTACAGTCTGCTGTAAATAATACCTGGTGCAATTAGCGCTCTTTTTTTCTGCAACCAAGTATAGTCACTGAACATAATGCACTGGTGTCAGTTGAATTCGTGAACCTAGTATCACGTGAACATTATTTCAATCACTTGATATCATTCACGTATACGTATTTTGGTAAGTGACTATATCCAGTTGTAGATGAAAATTAGTACACTTGAACCGTAACAAGATATCTCCAGGGTAGTCCAGACGTCTGTGTTTTGTAAGGAGCTGGTAGTCTGGTTCCCTCTTCAGATGTTTCTGACGTCCCGCAATAGAGCGTTCATGTAGGTCGGGTAACCGCCACATTTAAAAATAGCATTGCGAAGCAATTAAAGTTCAGTCCTGGTGCGATTGCAATTTGAGGTACGACATCGACATTGGACATAATGCAGATAAACGCCACTCCGCTGGCTTTGAAACTCTTAAATGCAAACCATGAATTTATATTCAAAGCTGAAAACAAGCATGACAGGTATTATAATAATAATAATAAGAAGAATAATACTAGTGGCATCTGATTAAGCGCAAACAGGTCCATCACTCGGTGACGCTCATGGCGCTTATGTTGTTAGATAAACATTTTACACCGGGATTTATCACAACTGTTGCGAACATATCCGATTGTCAAAGAAGTGTATTCGGTTGATAACGTTCGTGCATTTTAGGAATGATGGGCAAGACCCTCACCAAAGATTTGACAGAATAGTCTGAAATCATTTGGCCTGCATACCAGACTAAGAAGCGGGAGTTCTACGGATCCGGAGAATGGATGACAATCAAAATATAATGACCACCGGGATGATGGTACCGCCTCACAAAGCATAACTTTATTGAAGCCTAGATGGTGCAACTAATGAATAATCCATGAATAATCATTATACATTCAAGTTATTCTATATGCGACAGTTCTGATAGCCATGGAATGGGGGAATTGAAGACATGTGGCACTGCACCTCTGGCCTGGACTTTGGACTTCCAATTCTTAGCATTTTGGATTCAATCGGGTATGGAAGTGGCGCTATGAAGCCATGATGTGGAGGCATCCTTTTTGAAAATGGCTACTGTTCCAGTTTTGGAATTATTATTCGTTTTAACAGTGGTCGGCTTCAGGTGATAGGAAAATGAAAGACGACATGTTAATCATCATATGTTTTACAGCCTGAACACCTGTGAGAGTTTTGAGTATTTAGGGCATTTAATATAGTGTTCAAGTATGGGGATTTATCACAGGTGTCAATGGAAATAATTACTTGGTTGCAACCTAGAGATGTGAACATTCTTAATGTCCACTCAGTTTACACGAAAATGCAGCACCAACTCACCCAGGAACTGAGTTGGTTTCGATCCTAGTGAAGCGATGGCCCAGGTCATGTTTTCCCTCATTATAGCAGCTGTGACACAAGTCAAAGTCATGACACTCCAGACACTTCCAGCGTATGCCGACGATGCCTTCCTCTGGACAGCAGTCGCAGTTGACATTCGGATGCTTCACTCCTAAATAAAATGTGACATTTGAAAAACAAACTGTTGACGAATAGACCTCATTCACGAGGACGCCATTTTCGAGCGCGTTCCCTGAATCCATTTTATAAATTTTAAACTGTTAAATGGGATGGTGCCAGACTATTTCTATGATTGGAGTGCGTTCTTAGCCTCCCTTTCAGATGGGGCTTAAAACATTAGGGTATGTTTAATCACAGCTTTTAAACTATTCACATTAGCAGACTGGTTGTAATTTGTAATGAACTTTTATGTCATTGTTTTTTATTTCTACTTGCAAGTTAAAAAAACAATGAAAAATTTACTTCGCTTTCAATTTAAAATGGCCGACTCGTGTATAAAGTCTAAAATCCCCTCTTCGCTTCTATTCCACTATTCCAAGCTTAAGATATTGTGCTCGGTATAACAGGGTTATGCAGTTATCACTTATCAAAATTCAATAAACGTAGACTCATGAGTATTCAAAAATATAATTAGCTGGCTTGACAGACTTCGACACCAGATCGGGCGCAGAGCCCTGCAAATCTGAAAACCACCGCGTGCAATGGTCTTTGTTGACAAGTGTTCATAGTATGTGCCACCGGTACGTATACGGGCCGTTATCATGCGTCTAACCAGGAGTTGGGCGAGTCGTTGATCCTAGTGTGTAGGATTCGTGGTGTAAAAAAAACATTTAAACAACCTCAGCGTCTTACCTTGTTGGGCGTTATCGTAAATCCGCAGATCGTACGTGCCTTTTTCTCCACCTGCGCGGTAGTTTGCTTTCCTGCCCGAGTCCCATCGCACCCAGACACCCTTGGCTGAAACATGACAAGTAGTGTCTCCCATAAACAGAAAGGCTTAAAGCAGACTTAACTCGAGGAATTGAAATACCCACTTCCAATTATTTCCCTACTCGATAGAATACAGGATTTGATTTTGAGATTCTGCATTCTGTGTTGATCCATTGTCCGTACCAAATATAGACTTGGCGCACTTTATTTTACACCCTTTACGTCTTAAAATAACACGCTTCGAACTCAACTTTGGGGGCATACCTAGGACATGAGAATGTATTTAATGGTGTTTAACAGTTATGCTTACCACTCTCCGCAGACTCTGCAGGGACCACGGTGCCTACAGAGCCTCTCCCCCCGTCCTGGTCGCCCCATTTCCAGTCCGGGCCTCGTACAACTCGCACCCCTACAAACATGACGGCTTAAATGGCAACTAATACGCAAGTTATTGTTGGTACTGGGCGATGAAATTGAGTGTGGGTATCATGACACCTGGTTCGCCTAGTTATCCAAAGGAGAGTTTTTGTTGTAGACAAGCCCCTTCATTAAGTGGTGTCATAGTAGAAATTGGCCTCAATGAAATCTGAACTATACTGTTATCCTTGTTAAAGTGGCACATCTAGGGGGAGCAACAGCGGATACAGGGAGGGTCGGGGGCACGCCCCCCTGAAAAAACAATGAACATATTTTTCTTTTTTAAGTTACGTCGCAAAAAAAGGGCAGCCACTGCGTACAGCACCATGTACCAATGCCATGAAGAGTGCTTGTGTCTTCTTGATTTTTATATTAAATTTGGGGTGGACATTTTGGACAGACTTTTTCGGGGGAAAAACTTGCTCCCCAAAAAATTGTGTTCTGGATCCAGCCTCAGAGGGGAATATGGCAACCTCTCCCCTTCCCTCGCGTGCTCGTGCCCTCGGCCTCCCCTCCCCTGCGCCCAATCGGAATTCGGGAAGACCAAAATGAGCTTTATGTTGTTTAAATCGCACTGTGCGCTTCTCCAGAAAATAAGAGTACCACTGAAGTGCCCCCTCTCTGCAAATGGGACCACAACTACACAATTTAAATCCCGTTCAAAAACTCATCACAACAAAGCTGTACCCTACCCGAATGTTAACACCCTATTAGCTTAATTCAGATTTGTGTACTGAGTATGCGCTGTGTCCTCTGCGGCTCAACATTTTAAGGACAACAACATTTAACGGTACACCTTAGCCATTAAAGTTTAACTAAGCGGGAATCCCCTGCAGATGATAACCGTGTGGCAAGGTATGGAAATCCCGAGCTATTCTTGCTGCGGTTCGTAGAATCCTATAATTAGCTCAACCATTGTGATCGCACTGTTGGGTTTTTCCATTTGCCGCGATATAGTCCACTATAAACTATAACGTCAGTGCGTTTTGAGTATATACGTCCTGGTGATGTTTTATTTTAAAATTCAAACCCAGGATTTAGACACAATACAGTTTTTCCCCTATTTATTGATTGACTGGTTTCTGTGAGCAACTATCCGATTTCAAGCGAAACAAACAACAACAATGGGTACATGGAAATGTGTCCATGCGACCCGTGACGTCATTAGGTCAACAGCGGTACTCTGGTAAGCCGTAGTGAGATTGAGGGTAATGATTATTGTATTGATAGTTGATTGAATTAATTGAATTGGCTCTATGCATGGGCGTCATCAGGATTTTTTTCTATAGAGGGGGCAAAGCATATTATTTCCCAAATCCTTGTATTTCTCTAGCATATTTTCAATTTATCATTTTTTTCGAGAGTGGGAAGAGGGGCGTTTGCCCACCATACCCCAATTGCCAGTTTGCCATCCCCGCGGACGCCTATGTTGTTAAATGTGCATCACATGAAATACAACATGACTTCGCAACTCGTCTCTCTATTTTTTTTTGGGGGGGGGGGGGGGAGCGCCCCCTCCTCCTCCCCTCTCCTCCCCCTCCCCGTATGTGCGAATACCCTTTTCAAGATTGTTTACCCTCTTTCTCCCAAAAATGACCTTGCTACGCCCTTGTCCAGCGGCGTAAATTTGTGCCGGGCAGTGTGGGATGGGGGATGACCCAAATCCAAAAATTCCCCGGCAGTACAAATTCGAAAAGCGGGGTAGTATAGAAATACTCTTTTATCCGAAGACTGACTGGATGTCACGTGTGAATTAGACTTGCTTAATTCTCACCTTGTCCCAAAGTTTATCCCGTAATTTACCAATGGAAGTGGTAAATCCTGCCATTTCTGTACTAGACCATTCTAAAAGGATTGAATGTTATTTCGAGCACAAGGGGACCAGCTGTACTATAATTGCGTCGTCTTGTTTTATTAGCATCTGAGCGAAGTGTTACAAATATTACTACAAACAAACAGTGGCAGATTGAGTCTGAGGAAGCAGTGGGCGGGGCTTATTTTGCCTATGAAGGGTGCCGGTACCGAGCCAGACACTGTTACCCACTCAAGCTAAATCTGCCATTCCAATTTTACGTTGTGAATTAAACCTGGATATTGAATTAACATGCAAAACATTTATACAAGAAAAAGAACGCAAATCAGACAAAAATAGAACTATTTACTGATAGTGTATACCGCAAAGCAATCATTAGCCCCACAGTGATATCCACTACTTGCAAGCAAAAATTATATTCACAGCAATCAGTCAGACTTTTATGTCTACTGATACGCATACACTTTGTGACATCTGGCTATAAAAATATGTTGATTACTTTTTTAAACGATAACATTAACCTACTTCTATCAACTATATTCTCTATTAATCTAGTTAGATCGCGTAACCGTTTAAATTTTTTTATATAGAGATTACATTTTTAAAATGTCCTTCACATCAATTTCCATCAAAGAAAATCTTAACAGGGTTCAGACACACCAACGTTATTGTGCTTAAATATCGAACACGCAGAAACGTTTCAGATTTTTCGGCTGCTCACGGCCAGGGCCAGCCTGCAGCTAATGAGTGCGTTCGATTACTTCCCCCAGCTTACTCGCTCCTGGCTCCTCGCGTAATGACAGACATGCGCAGTCGAGCTAAATATACAAGAGCTGGAAAGTTTAACTTTAACTTGACAAAGGCTGCATCCCAATCGACTGTCTAGAGCTATGTATCGGTCCACACTCATTAAAAATACGCAGGGACGCACTGACAAAAGACGTGGCCGTATAGCTCTGGAAGCCCGTTTCGGAAAAAAGAATGTTGCAACCTGACGAAACTTCAGCGGTTCGTGTACAAAGTCTAAGGAGAGTCAAGAACATTTTTAAGTATTTCCTAACAAAACTGGAAATTTTTGTCAGTCCCAGATTCACGTCTTATCTTCATTTTTGCAATGAATGACCTTCATTGAGGTGATATATGAAGAAAAAAGTGGCGTCAGGTTGCAACATTTTCCCGCCCGTTTTGGACACGGCCTGAGGCGCCTGCCAGACGTCACGTTGGCATTCATGTTTATTGCATGGCCTTATGGGATACTTACCCAAGTAACCGGCTCGGCGAGTCGGTTACTTGGGCCAGGCTCGAGTAAGCGCGAGAAGTCACATTTGAATCACTTACTAAAGTTTCAACTTTCCTCAAAGTTCGAAGTATGAGATTATCTCGAATTAAACGCCGACAGGGCTAAACCAGTGCATACGTGTACCAGGCTACTAAAAGGTTCAGTAGCCATTTTGCTGTTGTGTGCGCTCTATATTGTAATTGCATTGTCTTGTTTTTGGCATCTTAGCGAGGTTGTACATACAATCTAGGTAACAGTGAAACATACAGTTAAATAGGCATTAGCAGATTGAGTCTGAAGTAAAACAGGCCGGGGCTTAATTCGCTGATGTTGGGGTGCTTGTGTTGTCCCAGGACAGTTTATCCACAGAACTGAGCTAAATCTGTTAGTCCAATTTCTTACGTGGTAAATTAAAATCTGCAAATTGTTTCAGCCCCAACACTGGAAGTTGAATTTACATGACAACATTGATTACATAAACATATAAAACAACAGTTTAAAAATGCACCCATAGAAATGGCGTTTACATAATGTAAAGACTGAACTATTACACCAATATTTACAGATATTATAGGCCTACTCCTCAAATTAATCATTCACTCCATATCAATGCCTACCCTTCAGAACAAAAATTCTAGTCACAGCAATCAGACCATAAGGTTTACTTATAAATCTATACCATTTGCTTCTGGGTATGAAGATACGTTAATTTAAATTTTCTTGTGTTGTTTGTTTGTTTGTTAGGGGTGTTGGGGTGTTTGTTTGTTTGTTTGTTTTTATCACTGTTTTATCAAATTACAAAACTTGTAAAATGAAATCATGATCAGCGTAGTTCCGCTCATTATAGCCCTGTCACAATTTACAGCGATGATACCAGGCAAACTAGTTCCAAAACAAAACTTTTACCCCGTCTGCCCGTCATCATGAGCAACACTGTTCTGAGGCATTACTATCCAACTGTTCTGGGGTCTATTATTCAAAGTTAACTGTCATGGTGGTTGAGTCCTGTTCGTCGCTGTCATCGTAAAGATGGTTATTCACCTCTTGCCCACGATGACGAGGTCTACAACACCAGCTCCACTCCCCAGCGATGCACGATCCTAAGCGACGCAAGCACCCATGACGCCATAAGGCCTTCACACTGGTCCAGACCAAGCTAGCTATAGCGATGAAAGCAGAGAGAACGCAATCAGTTTTCGTGTACCTAGTTGCCAGAACGTATTTTTATCATATTCTGATTTTAAAAGCTACAAGGCCTTAGAACCAAAATTCAATGCCAAACAAAAAGTCATTTTTTGTTTAATATACTGAGAATCCTTGCGTCAGCTGCAAGGCCGTTGAGATGCAACAGGTAGATGGAAAGAAATTCTTACCGATGACAAAAACGATGATACTGAGGTTCATCAGCACAAGAAAAACAGAAAGGAATTCCTTCCTTTTCTTGCTGGATTGAGCATCCTCGCTCGGCAACAGAAGCAGCGTCGCAGCCAACAGGTTCAGGAAGATGGTACCAAGCGAGCACATCTGCAGACGATGCTCGGCAGCATCCTTCATGGGTTTGACGTAAGCGTGCAGGAGCAGAAAGCCCACCGAAATGACTATGGTGGCGAACATGGTAAAATGATCGTCAGGCCCGTACAGAAGCACAAAAAGCGTCTGGACGATCTTGCGGGCCAGCTCCAGAATTTCCCAGTACCAGAAATTTGGCTTGTAATTCTCGCACAAGAAACTCTCCCAATTGAATTCAGCATGGCTTGGTTCCGAGTGTAGGAAAAGTTCGTCATCTGTCTCATCAGGCACGTTGTTTATGTAACTGGCGACACGACCGGCATCCAAACGACATCGACTACCCGCATCGAGCAAAGGCTGATCCTCACTTTCCTGTCTACCAGCGACAGCCCCGGTCTTCTTCCGTTTTCTGATGTTCCACCACAAGAGGAGAAACAACACCAAAGGAAACCCAACAACGTAGAAGAGGGAGGCCTCAGCTGCGTAGGTGAACTGAACATGCTGCTCTGTTTGGCAATCGATCGAGTAATTGGTTCGAAGTCTGGTCACACTGAGGGTGTCTTTTTCGTCCATGTAGAAGAGGTGACACCCAGAGGGCAATAATGTGAGAATAACACTAGACAGGCTGGGGTAGGAAATAAAGAGCAGTATCACCACAAACAAGTAACACCTCTGCTTGGTCTGCAACATTAGAGCGTTTTGTTCCGCACGCGGAATTTTCTTTGCTTTCAGGTAACACTTCTTGGAGCCGTAAAAACACCAGCCACCAAGAAGAACAAACGCCACAAAAATGATACCTGCCAAGAACTCAATGTAAATATTAGGATACGTGAAGTTGGGGACATAACATCTGGGACTGATAAACATCCGCACGATGTCCACTTCCAACAGTCTAAAGAAAGAACCAACACTTGTTAATGTCTTCGGCCATGCAATTTCATCCAGCGCTGAGATTATCTCCCCCATGACCTGGTAAAAACCCAGTAGGATCTTCCCTCGAGCAAGCAGCAGGCTGACGGCAGACCGACCGTTTCTTCGGACTTTGCGCGCCTGCCAAGCTATGATGATGACAATCAGAACAATGGCCACGCATACAGCAATGGCTTCAAGCAAGAACCACCACCATTTGGGACAGTCGAAGCATTGATCGAACCAAGAGTAATAGTACGGACTGCATTGGGAGCAAAGCCACCCCGTATAACCTTTCTTACATGTTGCATTGATACCACCCAGAACAGCATTCACGCACGACTCATTGCGAGGACATTTATGCACTTTGGGTAACACACCCCCAAACCGGAAATTGCTTGTGTTGTCATATCTGGAATCTTCAGTGCACACATTTGTGACAAATCGCTCGTAGGAAATGTAGTTGTCATCCGATAAACCCCAGTCCCAGGTCCACCAGAAGCCAGGCAGGAGGTGTTGGTACTCTTCTGAGCAGTTGACTCCCTCGGTTGGACACGGATGGCATTCACCGAACCGGTCAGTACGGTAGAAACCATCCAGACATGGACATGCGCGGAAGCCAGCGTGAAGGCTCTTATTGGTACCCGTAGGACACACCGTGCAATTCGCAGGACTGATACCAGGGTGCGCCTGGGGCGTGACATAGGTGCCATTGTTGCATCGTTGACAGTTGATAGCTTGAGATGAGTCAACCACTTGCCCCGCCTTGGTTTGGTAAAAGCCACCTGAATTGCCGAGACAAAACGAAAATTCGAGAAAAAATCGGTTAAACGATATGACAAAAATACAAGAAGGATATACCCCCAAGGGATATTTCAACCGGGATGAGCCATTGGATCATCCACCCCCCATATTTAATTGTTTGTGGTGAGAAACAAACAAAAAATACTTTTGAACTTTCCAACCGGCCAAATGTATTAAATAACACTAAACACGGAAAACGAACAGCGCACCATCTCGATGTATTGAACGCGTGCCAGTTTGCATTAAAGGTGTACATGTTGTATCATGAAAAGCCCCCCCCCCCCAGTTCCATGGGGTGTCAAGATGCCCCGCCCCCTCCCTTTTTTCAACTTTACATGACTGGGCAATAGAGCTTGAAATCCCACCACCTGCTGGCTCGCTTCCGGCTGCCTAGCCTTCGAATAGAAAAAAATAGCTTGCAAAATGACATTGTATCAAATAATTGATACGGTCGATTGGAACAAGGCGTTCGTCTGGATCCAAATGATTTGCATTAAATAGTAGCCGCATGAGGTCGCTGTTTGCGCTGTATAATGCACTGCATAACGAGGATATGCCGCCGATCGTAACACCGCGTACGGACGATTAATGACGAACGCCTCGACCAAGGTTATCACTGTTGATAAGGACTGCATTCAAACCAACCCGACTAATCTAGAACCCATCAGCTGTAAGTAGGTAAATCTTCTAGTCCTTATACATTTTCGTTCTCACGCAAGTACTGGAGACCTAGGAACGAAAATTTCGGATGTGAAAGGTGGTAAGTAAAATTCGTTTTAACCCATCTCGATGTTATTTCTTAACAATTTTCCTTGAGGAATACCAAGATAAAATTCCAACATGAATGTTTTTGGGATGATTACGATTATAAATCACAGCAGGTGAAAGGGCAGCCCAGTGTTACATGCTCATAGGCGGGCCGCGTGCGGGATCCGGAAGCTTGCCGCGTGACCTTTTACTCTCAGTCTCTATTGAAGGCTGTTACAATTGATAATGTAGTAACCAATGGATAATGTATCACCAACCGATAATGTATCACAAATTGACCAATATTGTATCACTGACCAATAATGTAGCAACAATTGACTGATAGTGTAGTAAAATTTGTATCCGATAATGTATCACGTGTCGACGGATAATGTAACTACAAAATAACTGTATCCGATAATGTATCACCTCGGAACGGATACTGTATCAACCGATAATGTATCAAAAATCAACCGATATTGTATCAGTATATTTGGAAAAGGTGGAAATAAGTCTAATAAGTGCCTTTACTATGATGAGTCCCCACTCGGGATAGTTTATCATTAAGATTTTTTTTTTTAATTTGGGAGGGAGTTGCTCTGGTTTGGAGACGCTCTACTTCCAAGTGGGCCTAGACTAGTGGCGTATCCAGCTTTTGATGTCGGGTTGGGGGGGGGGTCACTGCATTCGCACATCCGCGCCGAAATGTGGACAAGTTCTTTAGTCTGGTTCCCAGACGGACCAAAAGATTCCGACTATTCCTGATGAATCTTAGGTCCGGTAGCCTCCGGTAATACAATGTATTACAATTTACGTCACGTGACTAAAACGGGAGGAATTCCTCCCTTTTCCGAAAATTTCCAAAGTTTGTCGAAGTCGTTTCGTCGACATTCGGATAGCGTCCGAGTATTTCCGAGTATATAATATAGGTTTAATTAACTGCTAATTGCTTACTAATTTTATTTTAAATGAGTTGATAATTAATATTCATTGTTTTCATTTAGAAAACTTGAAATTCAACGACGATTTTGTGCATCAAATATACTCGGATCGTACGGGCGAACTTTTTGCTGGGTCATGTACAATTTTGAATTTGACGACCGTTACCGAGATTTTCCAAAACTCGGTCTTCATTCGGCTCCGCCTGCTAACAGTTCTATTTGGTTCCGTAATTTTGAAGATTCCAGATCAACATTACTCAATGTTATCTTACAAAAACATCAAACTGTATTATCATAACTGTATGATATTACGAAGCAAGTGATTTATTTAAAGATTTTATCAGAACATTAAAAGCTACAACTGATAAAGCGAAATCGGAAACGAAGCCGCGCTTTGAAAAAGGGCCATTAATGTCGTCATGTTTATTTTTAGCCACGGAGGCTGCCTGACCTACAATTTAAGACGTGAGCGTCGGGAATAATTGTCAGGTCTGGGAACCAGACTACAAGTTTTTTCTCCGTGCTCCAACCAAGAGGGCGCGTTTTACCACTTTTGAGAGCACCATGGACGTACGGGACCACTGATCTCCGTATGGAGTTCGCCCTGCAAACAGAACGCTGTAATATCTGATGAATTCACGCTCTGTATGGTTGGATTTTGTGTGACCAGTGACCTGCGCGTCATCAAGGTCATGACTCTGCAAGGTTTGAAAAGGCCGTTAAGACTGATTCGTTACTCTTTTGTTACAGTTTAGAGATGTTTTTTTCATTGAAAAGCGTAATAATGTAGGAAGTTCTGTAAAACTAATCTGTGTTGTAAATTTATAATTCCCGTCACAGGTTCCATTTCGAATCACGAACGGTTGGATGGCATAATGCGACGCTCAGAATTTTGTCCACATGGTCCGCAAGGAAATAGAAATCACATCCTGCCTGTATGGAACGAGTGCATTTTAATGGGAAGTTTTCGGATAGCATTTGCGCACATTGGCTAACTGCGGTCTTAAACAGCTGCAGCCAGTGCTTTATACATAGGCCATAGGCCACTTCCTTCACAAGATATTGTGAAGCTCATCAGCAGGGCGGGGGGTACAAGCGAACGTATGGAGATCAATGGACGGGACACAGCATGAGCGCGTACTTTACTGTACTGGTTCGCGCGCAAAGTTCCACACCACGTCCAGAATGTGCCAAGGCTATTAGCCGCAGCGTCGTCGCATGATCGTCAAGCAACGTCGGCGCGCGCATACGTTCAATTTAACTTGCAATGGTCTCCCAGACTATTCCCTCCCCCAATAACTTTGCATCATTCAACATACGCAGTGGATGGACCGGGAACCAGTCTAGGTCCTCCCCCAACTCTCCGTTTCTGGCCGTTGAAGCGGCACTTGTGCACGAAGCCCATAGCTCCATGGTATATTAATCAAAAACTGAGAGGGGGGGGGGGGCTTGCTGGAGACCACATGACATTGGGGGCCCTGTTCATGATACAGATGTATCAGCGCATTTCCAGCTTTTTGTACTCTTTCTCCCTTTCTCAGTACTATTTTATACTTTTCGGTGGTTGGAATTTTTTTGGAATACCTCAAAATCTGCCCTTTTTCTCTAAATACGAAATAATGGGGGGGGGGGGGTGATCCAATAGTCCAGACCCCCCTCCCCGGTCAAAAAGTGGTGCGGGATATACAGGACATAAAACGAACATTTGTGTACACCTTTTCCTTATCGATTGATTTTTTGATACTTTATCGGTTGATACAGTATCCGTTCCGTGGTGATACATTATCGGATACAGTTATTTTGTAGTTACATTATCCGTCGACACATGATACATTATCGGATACAAATTTTACTAGACTATCAGTCAATTTTTGCTACATTATCGGTTAGTGATACAATATTGGTCAATTTGTGATACATTATCGGTTGTTGATACGTTATCCGTTGGTTACTACATTATCAGTTGTAACAAAGGCTTTTGGTCATCCCCCGCCGGCACGGATTTACCCCACTGCTTTTGTCTATAGTGAACTTGGTAAGTCTAAACACAATTCGCTGCGATGACGTTCCCCATTTTCTCCTATGGCTTACAAGGATCAGAACATTTGCAGTCTCCTTGATGCTGTGTTATAATGGGTTTTTTTTAATTTGAACTTGTCTGTCCTTATGGGTTGTTTTACCTGGCGGGCAGTCCAAACAATTGTTTTCACTCCAAAAGGCTCCGTACGTGCCCTGTGGACAGGGCGTGCACCTATGCTGATTAGCAGTTTTGCCACACCTAAATCCCGACTTGCTTAATATCAAGGACACGCCTCTCGACACCAGTATTGGCTGGGCGAATCCATCACCAACCAATTCGCTGAGAAAGCAACCGTAAAAAGAGTCGGTTAGCATCATTATCGGTTTTTGAGTGACCAGATTGGAGCATAGACATCTAAACAAATACTAGACGCATTTTCTTGCAAAACCGGCAAATGAAACCACAGTAGTACACGTACACTCTTTTAAAGGGAAGATACAACAATTGCAAACATCAAAAAACGAAATGATCAAATTATCACAAAATTCCTTACTGGATTGTTAGGGACTGACAGTCTGAAGCGTCCTTTAAAATCGTGGCTCCTGGTGTGCTGACATTTTCAAGAAAAACTGTATTTTTCCAACGCTGGTCGGCCGACAAGCGTTGGAGAAAACTGGCTTTTTTCATAAACTATTCTTAATTTTTTTATGTTTAGTTATTCTGACTTTTCTTTGCAATTGATAACACAGCTGTGAAGGGTACAAGCCAGTGCTAAACTGATTCTATGACCTTGCAATTCCCCAATGTGTATTAATTGCTCCGTTTCATCTTAAGTGGGTTCAGGGAACCAGACTACAAGAACATGGTTGTTGGTTTTTTTTTTTGGTTTTTCCAGCATCTTCAAGCCCAAAACGTGAAACAAGTCAGTTTAACAATATTTTCTATAGCATACTTATCATCCAAATATGTTGTTTTGTTAAGTAGATATCTTGAAACAAATGTTAATAGGCAATTATTCAAATATTACTTTGTGATGACGTCATCATGACGAAACCTCAATTTTCTCATATAACACATGTAAGTCAGGAGATATTGCATGCAGAAAATGTAACTTTCTGGGCTCCTGATGACGTCAACACGACGTCATGATTCAGCATACAACTTCAGAATGTGGTCTAAGTATGTGATGCAGTTTGTGTTGAAGTTTGAAGTGAACAATATATTTCATGTCAAATTTTGAAATCAGAAAAGAAATATTAAATTTAAAAGCATTTGATAAAAAAAACATTGGATAACGTCACCATGACTTCATATTAGATTTTGAATACCATTATCAATGCCTACCTACCCGGCAAGTTTCATAAAGATCGGGCATTCCCTTATGTGTTTTAAAACATAATCACATTTCAATGTCGTTATGATGACGTCACACATTTGTCAAAAATTGGTGAATACATAACATATCATGACGTCATCATGACGTCAAATCAATTTTGATCTAAAAACATCTTCCGTTCAACATATGTACCAACTTTAAGATCAATCGCTTCAATAGTTCTATAAGACTGTAAACAAAAAAAATTGTAACATGACCCCTGATGACGTGATGATGACACAACATCTTCGAAAGATATAATTATAGTTATATAAATGAATGTTTTAAATATACAAAGTGATTGGATTAATTGAAGTCCTAAAGAATTGTTAAAATGAAAACGTGTACAAAACATATAGGAAAAAAAGTGGGGAAATATATCTTATCAAAAACAAAAGCTGTTCCTAATTGTAATACTCACATTTTGAGGTCAGTTCTGTTTGTGACTGGTGCAAACTCCAAAATGTTCTCGATTGCTCTGAAGAGGGAAAAACAGGAATACGATCTGTCGAAACGGGACGTGCCGATTGCATCTGTACGGCTTCTCGAGTGTCTGGTTTTAATACTGTTTTATGTTTACTTTTGAGCCGCATGTAACGGCTGCTTCATGGACCAATGCATTTTGAAGTGTTTATTTGTGTTTTGCACACGTTTATATGACAACTTGTTAATGGAAGCATTTTTTTTTTTTTACTTTAGATGAGGTCATAAGACGCTAAAAAGATGGGCTGGTAAAGGCGCCCACTTGGGCGTTTTTTGAAACGATATAAATTGTATTTTTATCTTAAATTTATGTTGTAACAATTATTTGTTGAATGTTTTTACTCGGCCTGTAATTGGTGATTATTTGCTGTTGGCTTAAAGAAATAAATATATCTTAAAAATCTATCAAAACACCCGATTAAACCCAACAGCCTAACTTAAACTTCTATAAATACGATCATTATTTAGTCCGTTGGACCTTTGACCTAAAGTTGTTTTGAACCTACCAATTGTTTGTCTTGCTGGGAACTAGTGGGAGTCTATAGTTCTGAAGACGTCATACTAAGGTTATCGAGCAAGGAGAAAGTTATATTATTCCAAGACTGTCTTTTCTTGAGCAGAAACTTGAAATTGACTTACACGTAACAGGAGTTACCCAGATCCTGCCAGACAGAATTGGAAACGTTCTTCAAGTGACTGTCGTATATTGATCTGAAAAAACGTAATACATACTTCAATTTAATGTCTTTCTAATCAGGGAATGTCTCAGAAAATATTCATCTGCCCGATTGACATCGTAAGGTTGGAAGGCTGGAGCTTTAATACTCACAAATGTTGCAGAGTGTGGTTCATTGTCGCAAATGGCCGCTCCCCTATCGACGAAAGTTGAGTCTGGAATATGTACCTAATATTCAAATAATCAAGAATTGCTTTAATTAATTTGTGTAGAAGGTAGTGCATTGGGAAAAACACTGGTGTTCAAGATAAATGAAGCTTTAAGTTTGTGTATGGTGTAAATCGAGGACACACACGTGCAACATCATCGGTGAATCGATGATGAAAAGGAACCAAATCGAGGACGACCTCGACTAATAAACGTGTACAAAACCAATGAGAGCTGTTGCAAAAAAGCTAGGGTACAAACAAAGGAAAAGAAAATCCTCGATTTTCACCATAAACAAACGTGTGTGTCTTTGTTTCTGTACACCCATGTGTATCGTCTATTTGAAAATATTTCAAAGCTTTGCTTTTTCAAGTTTGATCTACAAATAACGATTCCCGATGTTTAGATGTCAAGATGACAAGATGTGTATACTCACAGGTGTGTCAGTTTGGTCTCATAAAACAGCCAGTCCACTAACTCGGTGATTGGGTTGTCAAATATCATCCTAAAATGGAAAATATTGGAATTTAAATGTTGAATAGGCCTACTGAGCCCAAGTTCATAGAACTGCTTAACAGTAGGCAGAACAAGTTGTGCTTACTGCAGCAGAAATTCTTGGCGCGGATGTGCTAGCGGTTGCGCGCCCGTGGAGAATTATATTGTTGCGTCACTGATTTAACGTTCCTCAGGCGTTAAGCGTGCTTCTGCTGTTCTTACTTTTTACGGTGTCTATGAAATAGAGGGAGGCTCGGTTAGCAGAAAAACAGCTGTTAAGCAGTGCTATGAAATTGGGCCCAACTAGTCAAGTCGAAGTTTAAAAGCTATCAAGCTTTTTGATATTGGATTTTTGCCCTTTGCCAACAATTTTGTTTATTTTATGTAATGTTCTATTTAAAGCTAGGTTCAAACAGTTGAATACGAAAAGGCAGTGGACGCGTATGCAAAACAATTTAAACATTACGAATACCTGATACCTAATACACCTGTACGTTACACTTGCCAGAGCAGACCGCATTTTTCCCCATAGGCGGTAAAGCCATTCAGGAATGATTCGGTGTTTCGATGGGAATGTGTTCATTTATGAAAAAAAAACAATACCGTAAACTCCTTTGATCCAGATCCCTAGTTCAGATCACTTGGAAAACACAAAGTGAGTGTTTACGCATCTTGCAATGATTCCCTCGAAACTGCCAACCTCGTTATAACTCCTGGATAGTATCATTTCTTTCTGTGTCATGTTTCGATACAGCGATAGTAAATGAATGTATATTGTGTATTTGATGTTTTATTTTCAAGGATTTTGGTAAGGATGACAGGTGGATGTACCATTCAACATGGCGAATCAGATGGGGTGACACATGGATGTTCAATGAGGCAAAGCCGAACATTTCATACGAATTTAGTATTTTTCTTTTGCACTTGTTTCAAACTTTTTGTTTCAAAACAACACCTGAATAAATACTCGTCATAAATACTAGTCAGTGACGTGATTAACAATCAGATGACGGGGATTTATTCAGGAATGAACAAAAACAATCGCCACAAGAACTGCCTTGACGGGAACAGTCGCTATAGCAACGAGCCGATAGTGACGTCACGGCATACGGCGACGTATAGTTTGGTAAGGTATTAGCCAGGTAAAATCTTCATTTTTGGAACTTGCGAATATAAATGAAAGTAATGACATGAATTAATATTAAATACCAGTTTGCTCCGATTAATAATTTAGAATTTGTGATTAACCATACCCTAGTGTTTTAAACCACATTTCAAAAAAGTGAGGCTTGGAACGCATAACTATAGTCTGGCATCATCGTATTCAACAGTTTACAATCTATAAAATATATTCAGGGAACCCGATCAAAAACGGCTTCCTTGTGGATAAGGTATATTGAAGGACGAACTTGACTTACAGTTCTTTCAGCGAGCGAAGTCCCGCAAACACCTTATCATGCAGGACACTGATTTGGTTCCGCTGTAAGTAGAGATATCGGAGCCCAGTCTGCGACCGGAAAAGTCCAGTTGGAATATAAGTCAGTCGATTGGACGACAAATCCCTAAAAGCAAACATAAATAACTAAAGTAAGAAACTGGCGTCAGCATTACATTATTGAACCCGCTCTAAATAATTCAGAGCATTCAATAAAGGATAGAGTAAAAGCTGATTTACTACATTTTATACAGACGAGTATTTAAAAAACATCATTCACACGTTAAACTACATTTTCGTTGAAAAAGTTTCCAATGCCGTCCACTCGGGTTGCAAAGAAATTCGTCAAATCATAAACAACACTTTGTTTGCAATGTCAATGTAACGTAAGCATCATCGTCATAATGCCGACGGTTACTTTGCTTTTCAGAATATCTAGAAAACATACCTCATTAGAGTCTTTATTTTAAAAATATCTGATACGTTGATACACTTACAGAGTATACATTGTAATGTTGTGAAACGCATCCTCTGGAAGGCCTCGTGAGTCGATTTTGTTCTGCGAAAGTTTACTAAAATCGATGATCAAAAATTATTATCAACAATGTTTTTTGCCAATATTTTTGTTTTCTTTCTGGTGTTTTAGGTCTTGTTGATATATTTTATGTGTTGTATATTTTTGATTATGTTTTATGTATCCCAAAATGGGCTATGTTATGTGCTATCCCAGACGTATTGCTATGTGCATCATAATGTTACTATATATTGATATTAAACAACGCCGAATCGAAATTCATTGTGTTTTGGGTATTTCAGAGAATTCGCACACTTTTTTGTCTCTGATAGTCTGAAGCAATAGCCATATTCTAACAACAGCCTAGATCCGATAAAATAAACTCTTCTTTTTTGTTTTAAAAAGGGGGCATTGAAGTACACTTACAACATTCCGACTTTTGTCGAATTTTCAAACATGTTATTTGGGAGAAAAGTAAGCTGGTTTCCTTCAAGATTTCTGCAAAAGGAAGAAAAAAGAATGAGTGAATGAATGAATGAATGGTTGAATGGATCTTAATGTGACCCGGGTTCCTGGCCAGTACTATGACCCGTGACTTTAATGAGTGTGGGGGTGCGCGTCAGAGTTGTAACCAAGTCATTTTTTTTCCCAAGTCAGGTGAATTCTCGAGTCAATTGTTCACAAGTCAAGTCAAGTCAAGTCCCAAGTCAATTTTGGCCTATACAACGTCGTATCCATCGTTCTCACTACAGAGGAGAGGAGGGGGCAGCCAGTGGGGGTGGAGGTTAAATATTGTGTGGGCGTCGCCAAGATTTTTTCTAGAGGGTGACAAAACATATTTTTGCCCACAAAATGCCTGTTTTTCTCAACACATTCTCGATTTATCAGTTTTAGAGGGGGGCAGGGACATTTTGCTCCCCCCAACCCATTAAATTTACACCACTATGACTTCGCGCCTTTTTTTGTTTTTGCTTTTCCGGGGGGGGGGAGTGCCCCCCCCCCCCGTCATTTACGTCATCATCACAGCCAGGGGTTAGTGTAAGGAACGAGCACGCGCCCCTGGAGTCGAGGCTGGACCGCTCTATAAAAACGGATGATACCCAGACTACGCACGGCACAAACTTCACAATAACACACGCACAGTGCTAGTCAAGTATATGACTTGCGACAGGCTCAGGATGCCCAGCTATCGCGTGCTGGTTGCTAATTCGCTATGTATATCTGCATTTTTTTCAACCGATTATGCTAGTGCGCACGAACGCCAAGATTTGTTTTGGTAACTTTCAGAAACGTGTTAATGTCAGCAAGTCAATTTATTTGAGTCAAGTCAAGTCTCAAGTCATATTTGTTCAAGTCAATTGAAGTCTCAAGTCATCTTTCCCCAAGTCAAGTTAGCTCTCAAGTAAAAAAAAAAATGGCGACTCGAGTTCGACTCGAGTCCGATTCAGCAACTCGAGTCAACAACACTGGTGCGCGTAAACCGACGAGTTGCATACATTATAGGTCTCTCTTTTGCAGTAGCAAGTCATAAAGTCTCTGCTGTAGCAGTCACGGGTTGGCAAATGATGGACGGCCACCATTTCAAAACTAGTTGTTCTGAAAAACACCCTGACAGCATTCGGCCTTGTGGCGTGTGGGACACATGACCAGTGGCGTAGCCACGGGGGGGGGGGGGGGGGGGGGATTTTGAGTTTCTAAAAATGACGCACATGACGCACTACATGTTATTCCGTGCTCCATTAGCATTGGGATAACTTATGATGCCACTCTTGTGTGAACAAACTAATAAATACTTGTATTTGTATATCAAGATGTAGTAGAATACACGGCCTTTCCTCAAGCAAACTTAAATCCTTGATCCCGATTGGTCGATCCATAGCAACAACAATGTGGCATTAGCTGTATTCATGTGTCACTTCGCGAAGCAACTATACTTCTCAGCAACCAAGTGTATTCAATAACCGTAATGGGTATATGCATCGTTCGTAATAAAATGGTTCTCGAGCTTAACTTCTCGTTAAAATGTAAATGTGAAGAAAAAAGTGTATTTATTTTATTAATCAGCAGGACTTGGTTAAATTCATTTTCGGGGGAAAATATCACTTTGCTGGAAAAATAAAAAAAAATCGGGGATTCGAACCCGCAACCTGCAGCTTTTGAACTACCGGATTAGCGCAGCCCACGATATTCGCCGTGAATTATAAACTACAGGGTGAGTCAAAAAAGCGGAACTCAAATAAAAAAATGTATTTCATATTTAGAAAAATATATAGCGCCAAAAACAATAATGACAGGAAAGCCAATTTTGATAACCTACTTTTAGATGAAAAAAAAAATTCTGAAATTGCTCAATCCGTTCGAAGAATATCACCATTGTAACGCAATGACCCTCGGGGAACGAGGTTGACTCGACAACGAACGATACTCAGATTATCGCGCTCGAGGAAAACCGAATATTCAAGCAAACTTGAATCCTCGATACGGATGGTTCGATCCATAGCAACTAACTGTGCTACATTATCCCATATGACACAGTCCAACATACTTATATTAAATTACTCTACCTTTAACTCAAGTTTGCTAAAGATAAATTTGTTATCTCACTCGCGCTCGAGGAACACGGAAAAGTAGTGCGTCTGCTTCCCTCAAACCACTAGGCCTTCGGCCTCGTGGTATGTCGGACACACACGCACTACAATATTCCGTGTTCCAATTGTGCTCGCGGGATATACAACTGTACTAGAATGAATAAACTTACAGGGTGTAGATTTCTTTTACTCCATGGAATGCACCTGGACAGATCCGCTGTAGTTTGTTGCTCTCGAAATAACTTAAAACAAGTGAAAGAAATATTAAATTCTAACTGCTGCAAACGATAAATAGGCCTGTATATTAAGGTCGAAAAGCGGGAGAAAAAATGTCCTATGATGACGGACATGTTCATGTATGACGGACATGATATACATGTATAAGATCAGGACTAGGATCAGGTTTTGTGCGGGCGCCTACGATTCATCCTCCCATGGGTTGGTTGCCGGATGAGGACTTTGCTGGCGGGAAACTCTGGGTGTCGCAGGCAGTGCCCGGCCAGTCGCATCCGTCTCCATGCTATCTTGTTGCTCAACTTAGGAAGGTCGATCGCCCACCATGGAGTTGCTTGTTGGTCACCCTCTGTGTCCAGTCGACATTGAAGGCCATCTGGAGCATCCTGGTGTAACTGCCATCGAGAGACTTGGCCATGGACTTAGTGAGGGTCCAAGTTTCACACTCGTAAAGGAGGATTGTCTCGATTGCTACTATGAAGATTCTCTTTTTAAGTCCTCTGGAGAGGTTGGAGTTCCAGATGTTGTTAATGACGTTGAGTTCTCTCCAGGCAAGACCTCTACTCACATTGATGTCCTTTTCCGAGCTCGCCATTGGTGATCCGACGTGCTTTAAGTCGGAAACTCGTTTGAGTGGGGAACCTTTGATGGTCTTGAGTGGCTCATGGTCCTACGTTGTAGGACATCTACTCTGTCTTATTGGCTTTGAGGTGCAGCCTGACTTTGTTTCACTAGTCTCAGTTTCTACTCTTGACAAGGTAGGCCTGGGTATCGCGATGTCGTCGGCAAAGTCCAGATCAGATAGTAAAAATGTACCAACCCTCTTTGACTTCCTTGGTGTTATGGTGAAGCCCAGCTCCTCATGGTCTTCAACTGCTTGCCGGAGGGCGTAATCAAGTACCATGACGAAGATGAAGGCTGCCAACGTGTCACCTTAATTGCAGGACCCCAGCCTGTAGCTCGAACACTTCGGTCTCACCATCCGGGGTGATCACTCTTGCCATGGTGCTGTTAGGTGGCCTCAATGGCTCGAAGGATTCAAGGTGGGATTCTACGGAAGCCCGTTAGGGCCAGGTACCTCGTTCTCCTTCACGGCAGAGCATTTCTTTTTCATGGTAGCTGGCCTCGCTTTCATATCGTGTAACTCGCGGCCGCGACTTAATTATGTTGCAGCCGCGACTTATTAAGTCGCGGTCGCGACTTAATTAAATGGCGGCCGCGAGTTATTATGTCGCAGCGGCGACATAATTAAGTGACGGCCGCGAGTTAATAAGCTGTGGCACCGTGAAAAAGAAACGCTCCGACGTAAAAGAGAAAGAGTTACCCGGCCCATTACCCATTTCCCCCCAATGAATAGAATCGAGTGCTTTCTTGAAATCGATGAAGGTCAAGATAGTTGGTAGGTTGTTCTTCTTTACCTCCTCTATTATTCTCCGAACGGCCAGGATCTGTGCGACTGCTTCTCGCGAAAACTGTTCTGGTTGTATCTCAGCTTGGGGTCGATTGCCACCCTTTTCCGGTTGAGGATCATCCGATTATAGAGCTTGGCTGAGATACAGGTCAGACTGATGCCACGGTAGTTGTCGGTTTGTGGTAAGCCGTCTGGATTTCGGAACAGGAATTATGTTTGAAAGGGACCACTGTTCCCGCTTAACGCCCTTCATCAGCGCTGTGTTGCAAATGTTCAGCAGGATGCCATCCAGGTCACAGTTCTTTAACACCTCAGATGGGATCCCATCAGGTCCAGCGCTCTTTCCTTGTCGTCAATGTCAATGCCAGTAAGGA